GCGAAAAGAAACCTCCCATTTTACCCCTGGAGACCAAATTGAACAGAACATGGGATTGTTCAAAGTTGTGTGGGAAGTTATTTCTGGTCTAGAGAGAGCCCAGTTTTTTTTTTTTTTTTTAATTCTTTTATAAAGCACACATACATGTTCAGTATACTTGAGTCTTGTTTTGTGGTTGGCAAATGTCAGGGCCTAGGGCTTTGGTTTCAAATAGTTCATCTGGCAGTCAACATTGTCTCCATCATCCTTGTGACTGGTCTAAAAGTCAAGTGTATGCACATACACACACACACACACGCACACACACACCCATTGGAACCCATTGGAACTCATGGGCCTATCAGGACATGTTGAAATTCTGTGATTTACATTTCAGTAATTTAAAGAGAAGGTGTTTTCCAGGGATGGGATCTCTCATGCTCAGATGATGGTGTTGGCTGCGAATGTTCTTTCCATGGAACTTTGCTCAGAAAGAATTCATTATTTTGGACATGATGTGAGGTGTCTGTAACAAAAAGGATGCTTCTCTTCCTCCCTGGGATATGGAAGATGTGCAAGGTTGTACTGTGAAGTCACTAAGCTCTTGGGAGGCTCCTGCCCGAGACAGCCCAGTGATATTGATGTTCCTTTCCTTCTGCAAGGCCTGATGCGCTGCGCCCTGTTGCTCTGGGCAGGGCCCAGGTGGGCGAGGCCGTCACCTGAGCCAGTAAGCCATACTTGACTTCTGCATCGATTTACACGTTGTTTTGTAAACTGTGATCTTGCTTCCAAACACAGAATTGTCACCCCCTTCTCACTGAATGTACCTGCTCTTTGTCAGTAGTGAACTGCATGTTTGTTCTTAGTGCCACATGTGTGGGAAACTCTATGATCAAGAAGGAAATCATAAGAGCAATCGCATTTTACTCCCATGGAAGAAATGCTATTTTTTGATTTGTAATAAATATTTATTTTGCCTTGTTATGGTCATGTTTTATCCTTGCCTGGGATGTGCCAAGGGGAAGCCCCATTAGCAATCGTAGGGTATTGCAGAGCAGGAGTAATGGGAAGGCCAGCTTTCGCATGGGAAGCCTGCTCCATGGTCCTGGTTCAGAGACGGAGCCAGCAAGTACTAAGCCATGTCACCTTCAAACAGTGTTTGTGTCTCAAACTGCAGTTATGTCCAAGACTCCACATGAACCCATCAGCAACATTGGAAGTAGTTTATGAAGGAGGTTCAGAGAGTGGGATCAGTGTGCCCGAGGCTTCTCAGCCAGAAAAGGATACCCACTCAGGATGGATGACCCCCAGACAGTGCTCTGTCCACCATGCCCTGCTGGCTCACCATTTATGTTGCATGGATCTAAGCCCATGGCTCCATCCAGAGACCAGAAAGGTGAAATTCCCCTTGTGTACCAGAATGGATATGAAAGAGCTAATGCCAATACTGTCATCATGCCTGTCAGCCCAGTTCTCAAGATGGGCATTACTTCATTCTTTTGGGTTACTTTCAAAGGGTGCAACCTCAAAGTTAGTGACAGGGCACTGCTTTGTCTGGCGGGGTTGTAGAACTTGAGATCAATTCAACAGAATACTATATTTGGTGAATTATTTGCTAAGTTCCAATGATTCCTTGAATAATCTTCTGCAGCAGGATGTGTCTTATTAAGTGGCAAAGAGATGTAAATTGTATGTAGTCTACATTTCCAGCTTAAATAGACTTCGGTTTGTAATTCAGGCACCTGGCATGCCAGGGAACATTCTAGGTGGACTGATAAGAGAGCATGGAAGCTCCCGTCATAGGGTGTATTTCTTCTGGCAATGGAACTTGAGGCTGAAGGGTGTGAACATTTTCATGGATTTTAGTATGTTGAAAAAATTGCCTTGTAAAGAGGATTCTATAATTAAAAAAGATTTATTTATTTTTATTAGAAAGGTAGATCAGATTATGGAGAGGAGAGACAGATCTTCTATTTGCTGGTTCACTCCCCAAATGGCTGGAGCTGAGCTGATCCAAAGCCAGGTGCCAGGAGCCTCTTGCAGGCCTTGCATATGGGTACAGGGTCTCAGGGTTTTGAACCATCCTACGCTGCTTTTCCATGTTATAAGCAGGGAGCTGGATGGGAAGTATAGTAGCCAGGACATGAATTGGCGCTGATATTAGCGTTTACAAGGTGAGAATTTGGCCACTGAGTCATCGTGCTAGGTCCAATATAATTTTTTTTTCAGAATGTGATTATATATGTCACACTGTAAAGTGCCCTCATACATGTTTGTGATCTTAAAAAAAATTAGTTCTGTAGTTTTGATGAGAATATTATCCCAGTTTACTAGGTAAGGAGGAAGGGGACTTGGAGACAGACGAAATGACATATCTGTGTCACAAAGCATTGTCCTAACCTGGGGATTCAGGTTCCCTCAAGTTTACTTAGTCCACCATTGAAGGACACCCTAATTTCCCATCATACCAGGTTCCCACTCTGACAGTGACAGCAAAAGGAAGCAATTCAGTCCCGTTCTTCAAGAATGTATCTCACCTACTCCACTGGGGGTATGTAGTCAGTGTGGCAGACATTGAATGTCTAGGAAGGTGGTGAAAGGCGAGGAGAAGGAAGTTAAGATTTACTGAGTGCTTACTATGTATCATGCTATTTTTTTTAAAACTATCCTATTTAATCTTTTAAAGAAATATTTATTTCATTTGAAAGGAAGATTTACAGGGAGAAGGAGAGACACACATCTTCAATTAATAGGGAACTGGATTGGAAGTGGAACAGCCAGGACTAGAACTGGTGCTCAGGTGGGATGTCAGCGCTTATAGGCAGAGGATAAGCCTGTTGTGCCACCGCACTTGGCCCCTATTTAATTTTGACAGTAACAGTCTGAAGGATGTAGAATAAGGTGAGTTTTACTTGGAATGATGGGGCATATTCAGGAAGTGAGCAGGAAAGAAGATGGGGGGAAAGGCATTGATGTGGTAGGTTATGGAGATGTTTCAGAGAGAAGGGATGCTTGTGTGCATATTCTTATGCTCCTGACCTTTATTGGACTGTATGAAATTGTAGACACTGGAAAAGACTTCGTTAACGGCCTCAAGGTGGGATGGAAAGAAGGTGGAGGGGGCCAAGGGATAGCTAAAGCTAGATACGAGATCAAGACAGCATCATACATTCATAAAGAATGAGAGCTGAGTTGCAGGTGGAAGTAAACCCAGGAATTTTCTAGGACAAGCTCAGATGGAGCTGGTAGACTGGGGAATGTAGGGGGAAATTCTAGGTGGAGGCAGCCATCTGCGTGAAGGCACACAGGGATACAATAACACGGAGGGCTCCGGAACAGACAGAACCAGAGGGAAGATGAGTTCAGAGAGGCTGTGGGGAAGACAGAGGCAGATCATGAAAGGCTTCTGTGCTAGGAATATGAACTTGGATCCTCTGTTAGGACTTACTCTGCGCTAAGCACTAAGCCAAGTGCTTACAAGAATTAATCCACTTAATCATTCCAATACCAGAGGGGAGCTCTGAGGATCATCTTCAATTCTAGAAAAATGAGTCATTAGATTTTTAGAAATAAGCAAAGAAACATAAAACAAAGCAGATAATACCACTGATGAATGCCTTATAGTTCTTAGACAGTCACATCCGATTAGGAGATTGTAGACATTGAGGCAGGGAGGGGCTGGCATTTTGGCGTGGCTGCTGGGGAAAGCTGCCGCCTACAACTCCAGTACCCCATATGTACAAGTTGATTCACTTCCAATCCAGCTCCCTGCTGATGGCTTGGGAAAGCAGTGGAAGATGGTACAAACGCTTGGGCCTCTGCTACCCAAATGGGAAACATGGCTGAAGCTCTTGGCATTGACCTGGCCCTGCACTGGCTGTTGCAGCCACCTGGGGGAGTGAATCAGCAGATGGAAGATTGGCTTTAATGGGTCCAGCACGGCAGCACCAGCATCTGGGTGCTGGTTCGAGTTCCGATTGCATCTGATCTAGTTCCCTACCTATGGCTTGGGAAGGCAGCAGTGGATGGCTCAAGTTCTTGGGAATCTGAATTCATGTGGGAGACCCAAAGCAGCTCCTGGCTCCTGATTTCAGACAAACTCAGCTTAGGCCATCGTGGCCCTTTGGGGAGTGAACGTGGATGGAAGAATTCTCTTTCTGTCTCTCCTTTTCCCTTGTAAATATGCCTCTTAAATAAAAAATAAATTTTTTTTAATTGAGTCAGAGAAAATTAGACCTCATAACAGTAAATGATCCAGAAATTGAAATAGTGGCCTAAGTTGCACATCGTCAGCTTTATAAATAATTGAAATTTAGCGGGAGAAGCCAAAATTTACATCTGGAAGAAACTGACCTAGAAAAATTGGACTGTGAAGTAAGACAAAAAGGAATGTCTACAGTGGGAGGCAGAAAGCTGGTAAAACTTGTGAGGTACAAAAGATGATTAAATTTTTGCTACAGAATTCAGAAAGGAGTTTTTTGTTTCAATGAAAATTTTGGTAAAGTATAAGAACAGATGTTCATAACTGTGAAATGTTTCGTTGTATTCTACAGAACATTAAGTATGGCATGAAATGGGCTTTGGTGGGGTTTCTTCTGGAAGAATAAGGCCATCTGGGTGTGTGTCTGTGTATTTCTTCCAGGTAACCTCAGCGTTTTTGATAAGTATATCTGAAGCCAAAAACATGGGCCTGGGTCCACATCATGGGATTAAAATCCCTCTTTTCTTGGCAGTTACAGCCTGAGGGGAGGGAGGGTATATCCTGGGGAAGATAGAGGCCTGTGCTCCCTGCAGCTGGGAGGGCGGGAGGGGCCGGAGCACTGGGCTCCCTGTCTGTGCACGAGGGGCCATCAGAGCCCCTCCATGCAAGCAGGATGTCACCTTCACCATCATCCCTGAGTCCTCCTCTGTATTCCCTCTGCACAAGTGCATCTGAAGCCCTCCCATGTATATCACAGTCACTGCTGAGGCTTACAGACGGGATGCATAGTGTGCTACCTTCAATTCAAACATGAAAACTGAGAAATACAACCTGCATCATGAATTTCTGGCAGTTTTCATATGTTACTCGATGACATGCAACACTTAAATATTTATTTATTTAAAAGCAGAGTTACTGAGAGAGAGGGAAAAAGAGAGAGAAAGAGAGATTCTTCCATCTGCTGGTTCATTACCCAAATGGTCAGGGATAGGCTGAAGCAAAACCAGTAGTCTGGAATTCCAACTGGATCTCAAGGAGCCCATGCTCCATCCTTCACTGCTTTCCCAGGCCATTAGCAGGGAACTGGATGGGAAGTGCAGCTGCTGGCACTCATATCAGATGCTGGGTTGTGGGTGGTAAGCATCATGCACACCCCAACAGGCAACATTTCATTCTATGTAAGTAGCATCTTCTTCAAGTTTACATTTACAAGTTAAAAGCTATTTATTAAGAAAGTTAAATTATTCAATCATAAGGTAAAAAAAAGTGATACATAAATGGAAAATGTATTTTTTGAATAAGATATCTACATAAAATACAATACCTTTAAATATTTTCCTTAATGCACTGTTCTCTTTGAAAATTTTGCCTGGATGCCTGCTGGGCCAGGCACTGAGGGAAGTGCTGTGATGAAGCTAAGGCACAATTTTACTCTCCCAAAGCTTACGAACTAGCAGGTGTTTTCAAGATGTTGCACAATAAGTGAGCTAGGAAGGCTGCCTAGGGTGAAGAGCAGCGAATGCCTTTTGCGTTCAGCGTCAGTGTGGTTGTCTTGGCAAAGGCTTCCTTCTTCTCGTAATAGGCAGCTTCATTAACAAACACTGGATACACAGTGCAGTCTCCACCCAGGGCAACAATCTTTCCATCGAGGGTCAGAAATACCGGGTCTTCAGGGTGTAATGGTTTCCAATCTTGATCCTTTAGGAAACAACAGAAATAGGTAAGTCATTCTTCTATCTTCTCCCACTTTAAAAATGCTGTCTCAGCATTGTTTATTCAGTAGCATGTTAACTCCATGGTGCTGTAAATTTTTTGTTGTAATTTCATTCCTATTGTTGACTTTGTTTCATGGTTTCTCATTTAAGGAAATGTATAATGATGGCGTAATAGAGACTATCATATCCAGGTGTGAAGATACAATACAGTATGCATCTCTACTTCCAAATCAAAGATGGACTCCCAGAGAAACTGTTGGATATATTTGACAATAGGATGCTGGACTGTCTGGCATTGTCTGTACCAGCAATGTCAGGAAACACTTAAATAACAGAGTGATGGACTTATGACTGCTTATGAAGAACTATACTATTGTAATAATCTTGGAAAAATCAGTTTGGGGGGGCAATTTGGGGAGGGGGTAGGGAAACCCCAGAGCCTGTGGAATTGTACCATAAAATTCAAAATTAAAACATACACACACACACACACACACACACACACACACAGTGCTGTCTTAGGAGCAAATCATAGTCTTGTGTTATTTTAAAACAGACACTTGAGAGAGGCACCAAGGGACAGGTGGGTGATCTGGCTAATCTGAAACTGTGCAGTGAATCTGGGCAGCAGTTTTAAAAGTTCTCCATTTAATCCTTATCATTCACACCTGGAAAGTTTGCTCCATTCTTGGCTTATCTTGAATGTTGCTGAAGAGCTAGATGAAATATGTATGTGCCTAAACCCATATTCTGCTTCTTGCCAGCTCAAGTTAAGTTTTGTTCAATCAAATTTGGGGACTATCCATTGGGAGCCTTGCAGGTACAAGATATTCTGCTGGAGATATAGACATCAGCCGCGTGTTTCTCCAAGAGGTTTTGTTCTGATGGAGACTGGCCAGAAGAGGCATGGGGGGGTGGGGCTGGAGAAAAGTCTAGGACAGGTGGATGTATCCCAAAATGTGTCCCCTTGTCATAATGACTGACTGACTGGCAGAGTTCCACCCCTGTTACACCACAGCAATCCAAGGGCAGTTCTTCTCCAACTCCAACGTGCTGGCAAATCAGCCAGGAGACTTTGCTGAAATACAGATTCTGGTTCTGTGAGTAAAGGGTGAGCCCCAAATTGCGCATGTTAGCATCTCCCAGCAGCGTCATTCCTCCTGTGGCTCTCCCCAATCTCAATGTCTATGGTAACAAATGGGAGCGTTAGGCACAACACTGGGGCTGCAGAAACAGCATCACAGTGATTGTCTCAGACCTGGCTGCACATTACATCCACCTGTGTAACTCCATGGTTCTATTTTATTAAAAAAAACTTAAGGGGCTGGCATCATGTTATACAGCCACAACCTGCAGTACTGCCATCCCATAGTGATGCCAGTTCAAATCCTAGCTGCTCCGTGTCTGATCCAGCTCCCTGCTAATGGCCTGGGAAAGCAGTTAAAGATAGCTCAAGTCCTTGGGTCCCTGCACCCCCGTGGGAGACCTAGAAGAAACTCCTGGCTTGACAGGTCCAGTTGTGACATCTGGGAGTGAAGCAAAGAATAGACCTCTCTCTCTAACTTTGTCACTCAAATAAATAGGTAAGATCTTAAAAAAGTGTAATAAGATTTTAGACTTAAAATATGCAGTATTTATTGTTTGCTGATAGTTTTAGGAGTTTTGACATGTACATGATTCCATCCCTATCCCTCTGACCACTCATGCTACCCTTTAGAGTTCATTGGGGTTTCATTTTGTTTTGTTTTTGTTTAAGACCAGAGTGGTATCACAGCTCGGGAACCAGTGCTTTTCAGGCAGATGTGGCCCAGGATTATTGTGGGAACTTCTTCAGCAGCAGAAGGCCGGCCTTACCTCAGAGCAGATTTGTCCCAGTCATTTGTACAAGCAATTCAAATAGGTCTATAACCTGCAAGTCTGGTTATCTGGTCTAGAGTTATTACACAGGCAATTGAACTGGGACAGTGATTTTTCAAAACTGATTATCCAAATCAGTAAGACTGGCTTATGTCACAGTCTTGGCACTGTGTGTGTTAAGAAAGCTCTTCAGCAAGTGCTTAGCCAGGGACCAAAGCCTCACCCAGCAGGTCTGTACCACCTCTGGGCCTCTGAGTGTATAGAGATGGAGCTTTTGAGATTCTTCACTCCTTCTTGCCTTTCCCAATTTAAGTCTCTTATAGTCCTCCAACTTCACGATGCTCTGATAGCACCAATCATGCAAGGAGAGTCAAGGTGTGGTGGCAGAGAGCATCCCAGAGAAAGAGGTTCTGATGGCTTAGCTCTCACTTACTCAGTGGTGGACACAGGGAAGCAGCAGCTATGTGGTCAACTGCAAAAAGCCCTGCTATTGGGGCTGTCATTGATAGTTACGTGGCTATGGGAAGGAGTGAACTTCTGACCTTTTGTCATTTGGAGATGGCACTTGGGTAGGAAACACTTTCTCTGGCAGGTCTCGTCTGCTTTCTCCTCTCCCACCTCACTGTTCCATCACAACACCCATCTCTCTCTCTAGACCATCACGTAGACTTTATTGTATCTCAACTATAAACTCCAGGGGAGTGAGGTCCTGCTTGCTGATGTGGTCCCTGAGCCAGCAAAAGTCTACTCAGTGTTGAGTGAGGGTCTGAGCATCTTCTGTGTGCTACAGAGCTTTGGAGAACATCAAATGGGCTATCAGCGCTAAAGTGCTATTTGCATTTTTTTTCCCAGTGGTTTAAAGCAGCAAATGTTACCTGTAGGTTAGGATGTATGACAGCAGCAATCTCTCCACTTCTATTCCTGGGGTAATCAACTTTCTCCATGACTTTGTAGACCTCAACAGCACAGGGAGGATATTCTTTTCCTGTGGGAAAATCAGTACAGATAAATCACAACTACAGAACATTCCATAAAGGAAAAAAGTTAATGGGAAAATAAGGATTTGATGAGAGGCCTTTATTTGGTGCTCGTTTTCTTGATTCTATCAATCTGGTCATTGAGGAATAGCTGAAGTAAGTAAAACATTTTAATAAACACATGAGCTAGGTTATGAACACAGCAAATGAATCTAGGTTCCAATAGCTATTTCAACACTCAAGGGCTACGTTTTATAACTATATATCTATATATGAAAGAATCTCCAAAGTATCCATGGAAAACACATTTCTAAAAAACTTGTGTATAATTTCCAACCTACACAAAAGCAAATTTATCATTCAATTTAGTGAGCTTTTTAAAGCATGAGCACACACACATGTAAACATACACATAGGAAACAGCTCTTATCTACTACTTACCTTGATTGAAAAGATGTATGAAATCTAGGGCATGCTTAATAATTTTTCTCATTTGATCCAAAATATCAGCTCTCAGAACCCCTTGAGGCTGAGGACCAACTTCTATCCCTAGGTACAGAGTCACATTTATATAAGAATTAGAACATACTATAAAATGGAGCACTTCAAATGTAGTGAGAGCTAGAATCCCATCATCAAATTTATTATAAAGGTAGACTATGTAGCATGGTGGAAAATACATGAAATCTAATGTCAGACAAAAATAAAGCAGAACAGCTGTATGTTCGAGTGATACGTACACAGTGAATAAAGACGAGGAGACAATATTGGGGGGAATCAGAGTGATGTTAAAGTAGTAAGATCTTGAGTTTTTTTTTCTTTAACTTTCCTTTGCATTTAAAAACAATAGGATATTAGAAGTAGACCAATTTAAGTGACATTAACAGAAATGTTGTCACAGGTTTAACATTTAGCTTTTGACAGGAGGAAGGCCATCTATGTAGTTGCAGAAATTTAATCTGGATGAATACAGATTTAAGTCAATAGGACAATCTAATGTGACTATGGAACAACACTTTTGCCCTCAACGTAACAACTCAATCACAAAATGGTTTGAATTTGTCATAGGAAAAGTTTCTGATGCCCAAAAGGCAGTGATTGCATCATCAGTCTGCTCTCCATGACTGCCAGCCATCAGTCCTCACTTGTATACACTACTCTTTCCCCAAACCGTTTATACGGTCCCTGTCCTCCTGTTCAAGTCCTTTGCAAAGTTGAGAACTAACTAAACAAAAAATCAAAAAAACAGCTGCTTTTGTGTCTCAAATAAGATCATGGTCAATGTGGGAAAGCAAAGAAGATTGTGGTCCTTCTTCTGTGTTCTGTTGCGTGCGTGTGTGACAGAGACGGAGAAAGAGAGATACCAGAAAGGATTCAGCTGTAGCAAACTTTACCAAGATGATACTATCGTGTATCAGCTGACTTGGCAACAGTACGCTAGTAGCTTGCAGACAGCTATCAGAAATGAAGGCAAATTTGGGGCAGTAGTCTAGGATAGTATAAAATGTGGACCCAGAAAGGGCCTCTGACACTAAATGTGGTTTTGTTTTCTATGAGTGGATAATATGAAAGTCTTCCAAATAAAAGAGCAAAGTCGGCAGAAGAACATGTACTTCTTCTGTATGATTTAGAATGAACTTAATACTTACTCATATTGAAATGTTTTGAATATTTGGTTCTGTTTGCAAGGGCACACATATCAGCAGATATTTTTCCTGGCTAAGAGCCAGGGCCAACCTTAATTTTTCTAAGTTTGGAACTCTTATGCATTTGTTTGGTGCCTCAAGCAGGATCTCTATCCCTTATTGTTAAATTTTTGATATGTCTCTACTAGTTACCTGTATTTGCATATTTAGTTGGCATTGGTTGATCCCTTAATTATGCAATAGAAGTACCAATACTTGAGCAAGCAGGTTAAGTTTTGAATTTAGTTTGCTTTTATTGTTAACTTACTTTTAAATTAGATTACTCTGAGTTGAAACATTTGAAATTTGAGAAAAATATAATTATAATAGTGATTTTAATTGTAGTCTGAAGATAATTACGTGAATAGACTACTCAGAAAAGAAAATAGAAAATAACAAAAAAAAGCATGTGTCTGAGAGTGTACAAGAGTGTGGGCCACATGTCAGAAAGTGATTCCACAGCCTTATAGCTGGGAAAACAAGAATGGACAAGAAACAGAAAGCAGGTGCCAAGAGAGAGGCTGAGAAATAGATTTCTATGGGATTTTGTTTTGCATTTCTTGAAGGTCTTGTGGGCCAGACACTGACCACCTTTACTCCAGATTATCTGTCCAGGCCCCAGGATGTTTGTGCGGGGGCTGGGGGCGGAGAACAGCCTTGGGAGATATGGATGATGTTTTCTGGTTTGCATAGGGCAGGTGTGCTTACAGCTCATAGTAAAAAGAACTCCAGTCCTCAGCTCAGTGTTTCTCTTCTGGGAGACAAATCACTGGTGTAGGTGTCGTCTGACTCTCCACATCACTTCGTGAGAACCGGGGCTTGGAGCGTGGTGTAGAGATGCTGACTCTCTGCTATTACTATTGTTAACATCTAGTTGTCTGTCTCTCAGGACTTTTCCTGTCTCCCACCAGCATTTACCCAGCAGTGGCACGTTAACCTGCAGGCTGATGCCTGCAATGAGGGCAATACATCAGGCCCTTTCCAGTTCTTCTAAGGGGAAGACCAGAAAATAGCCTGGAGTAGGTCAATGGGATAAAGAGACCCATTGTTTTCCCGATCCAGTCAAACTTGACCCCTCTGGACAATCTCCTGAAAGTATGTATTAGCATGGTTAGATGGATAATACTCTATATGTAGCCATCATTACTGGCTCCAGTTTCAGCTGTTCCCATTTCCTATCCAGCTCCCCGCTTATGGCCTGGGAAAGAGCAGAGGTTGGCTCAAGTCCTTGGGACCCTGCAGCCACGTGGGAAACCTGAATGAAGCTCTGGTTCCTGGCAACAGACTGCTTCGGCTTTGGCTTGTTGCAGCCATTTGAGAGTGGATGGAAGATCTCTCTGTCTTTCTCTTTGTAATTATGCTTTTCAAATAAGTACATACCATTTAGCAAAAAAGCCCAGTTTTTTTTTTTTCTTAAAAACGATTCCTACTGTGGTACACATCGGGCTGTGGTTATTGCTTGCTTATTCACTTGTCTTTTCATCATATGCAGAGCTCTTTAAGGTCAAATTGTGTGCCTTGTTTATGATTTTTATCTCTGGAACCTAATTTCTAGTCAGTAGGCACATCCCAATATCTGTTGAAAGTAACATTTTGGGCCTGGCACGGTGCCTAGTGACTAACGTCCTCGACTTGCATGTGGCAGGATCCCATATGGGCGCCGGTTCTAATCCTGGTGACCCCGCTTCCCATCCAGCTCCCTGCTTGTGGCCTGGAAAAGCAGTCAAGGACGGCCCAAAGCCTGGGACCCTGCACCCATGTGGGAGACCCAGGAGAAGCTCCTGGCTCCTGGCTTTGGATTGACACGGTTTCGGCTGTTGTGGCTGCCTGGGGAGTGAATCATTGAACGGAAAATATTCCTCTTTGTCTCTCCTCTCTATATATCTGACTTTCCAATAAAAAGAAAATAAATCTTAAAAACAAAAAAAGAAAGTAACACTTTTTTTTGGAATGGGTTTGGGGAAATTTCTCTAGGAGGGGGCATCTGGATTGAGTCTTAGAATCTGGCCAGAGTAATTTGAAGCACCAATGAAATTATATAAATGAAACCAGAAGGCGGCTCACTGGGACTGAGGACATTTGGTACAGTTAATTAAAGTCAGCCTGATGTTAACTTGCTTGTTACTTGACAATGATATGCAAAACAGCTACAAAGGCTCTTTCAAAACCTTTTTCTCAGAGTGTCAGCTAGGACATACCTTCTTTAGCTGTGACACTGGGAAATGAGACTTACCCACAGGATACTTGGCTATGGAACGAGTGGTTGCATATTTGAGAGAAGGGTGCTCAGTAAGATAAATGTGGCAGGGTAACGGAGCCAGAGAAGCCTGCAGACAATTGAGAACACTCCTCTCAGTATGTCACGCCCATGCCCTTCATTCTCCTTTCTGTTACACAGTCACTCATGCCCTCGGAATATTTTTTTATTTAATCAGGTAAGGTTCATGAGAGGACTTGATGAAACATACTGAAAAATCCAACATTTTTATAGTTTTGCAAACATGCAACAGCTTTTGTTGGAGACATTTGTGGAGAAGATACATTACACAATTCTCTGGAACTATGATCAAAGAATGTTTTCCTTTTAAATGGGTTTTGTTGTTTTTATTATTATCTCTGCTTACACTTACTGTTTACTGTTGGTCTCTTGTAAAATCCTGTGTCTAACCCTGGGACCAGGTTATCCTGGCTACGTGGGTCAAACTCTTCGCACTAAATCAGAGTAACTCTCCAGAAGGAAGGTTATTTATTACATAGAAATACAATAAATATATAACACAATATTTATATTATTTATATAGGCACATAATTTATTTATCTTTACATTATATTATTTATATTATAAAAATTTATATTATATTTATACACACACATATAAATTATGTTGTTTTTGCTTGGTTCTCATTTGCTCCTAACTCTTCTCTAGCTGTAAGCATTGGATTGTTGCATTTTCACCTTGAAGTTACATGAAATATTGAATGAAAAAACGTGTATCAGGGTTTCTGAAACACACAAGGACAACTGTAAGATGAGAAAACCAATATTTTTTTTCATTGGACATTAGCATTAAAGGACTATTTCTTGAACTTTCTAAAATTCTCTAATTAAGGGCCTGGCACAATAGCGTAGTGCTTAAGGTCCTTGTCTTGCATGCGCCAGGATCCCATATGGTCGCCGATTCTAATTCCGGTGGCTCTACTTCCTATCCAGCTTCCTACTTGTGGCCTGGGAAGGCAGTTGAGGACGGCCCAAGGTCTTGGGACCCTGCACCCGTGTGGGAGACCTGGAGGAGATTCTGACTCCTGGCTTTGGATTGGCTCAGCTCCGGCCATTGCAGTCACTTGGGGAGTGAATCACTGGATGGAAGATCTTCCTCTCTGTCTCTCCTCTTCTCTATATATTGGTCTTTCCAATAAAAATAAATAATTCTTTAAAAAAATTCTCTAATTGAGATACTTCAGCTATATCATTAAACTTCCTGACATGATATTTACTCAGTTTTGTGTGTCTGGATACAATTTATCTTTTCACAGATACAAGAATTTATAAATATCTTATTGCTGTATAAGTATGTGCTATCTAGCACCATTGTCCCATATTTTTCACTCCCAACCCCCAAGCCTAGCCGCGGAACAGATTCCATTGCTCTCAGAACCTACCACCTGGACCTTTCACAGTTGGAACAGCAAAACTTTCACAGTTAAAGTACAGGTTCTATGCTAACATAGAAGTTAATAAAATTTATATTACCTTAATATAATGAAACATTTGAATTAAAAAGTCATTTGTGGAATCTTCAAGAATCAGAGTGCACCCCATGTTAGAAGTAGTATTATGAAGGTCAAAAATAACGTCATAGGAATCTTCACTGCCTTTTGGGCCAAATAGTTGATTTATTTCTTGAGCCCTTCTCACTTCATATGGCAAATCTTCTGACATCTTCTTGCTGTTAGTAGCAGAAAGAAAAAGATTAACAGATTGGCCCTGGCTAGGATAACCTAAATATGTAATAAAACACAGTATACAGAGAACCAATGGTGAAATCTTTAGTATAAAAAAACCTGTGAGAGCAGTGCAGAGCTCATCTGAAACCTTTGTCAATGAAAGATTATGCTTTCCCCTTTTTATGTGATCTCACATAACTGATGTTGCATTGGAAAGCTTGTCAAATAATACTAATTCATTTATATGGATGATGGCAGACAGGACATTTTACACAGAATTTACCATCTGATTTCAATTTACAACAAAAATTACCCATGAAGTATAAAAGCAGTTTCTTAGTAACCATGAAGCACTGGGCTATTAATTATGGGGCTAGACTACTCAATGAACCTTTAAAAAAAAAATTTACTTAGGGCCCGGCGCGGTGGCGCAGTGGTTAAGGTCCTCGCCTTGCACGCCCAGGATCCCATATGGGCGCCGGTTCTATCCCGGTGGCCCCGCTTTCCTTCCAGCTCCCTGCCTGTGGCCCGGGAAGGCAGTTGAGGACGGCCCAAGGCTTTGACACCCTGCACCCACGTGGGAGACCCGGAAGAGGCTCCTGGCTTTGGATCGGCATAGTATTGGCCGTCGCGCTCACTTGGGGAGTGAATCATCGGACGGAATATCTTCCTCTCTGTCTCTCCTCTCTGTATATCCGCCTTTCCAATGAAAAAATAATAAAAATAAATCTTCAAAAAAAATTTACGTAATTTTAGCACATATAAATAATTAAGCACAGGTGCTCACGGCATCTAATCAGGTATGCATAATTGAGGTCCAGGAATCACTCTTTGTCCAACAGCCAAGTGCATAGACAAGAATCTTCAAGCCCTGAATTAGGCTGGACTGCCACACCCATTGGTTGATGTGGAAGACAGGGCTGGAAACAGAATTGATCCGACAACTGCAATCACCAGCATGTGCAAAAGCTTATTGGGGCGATGGGCTGTGCCAGACCCTTTACTGGAATGCACACACAAGAATTAGGTTTGGGATCACCGCAGATCCCAGAAGTTTCCTTGGGGATCCCTCCAACTGAACTGCCGATCTCAGAGCCTCAACCATGAAGAGAAGTGCAGGTTCCATGGTCTGCCCATGGAGTGCATGTGTCAAAGCTGAGCCACCTCAGAGGCTCAGATGGAGCAGTGACAACATATCCAGGTGCACATGGAGGATATGGCAGACCACAGGAACATGCAGAGGACACCCAGTACCATGACAGAGGACGGAGAACAGAACAAATTGATCATCTACCCCAGCCATGTGTTGGCAGTGAAAATCTGGACAAATGGAGACTCTACAGTGGACTATGTCAGCCTGTGGATTCAAGAGAGATGTCATCTCACTTGGAATGGTGCGATTGGCAGCAATTCAGAACTGCTGAACTATCAAAACCACTTGAGCAGGACCCTTGGAGCATGCCCCACATCGGGGCCCTGGGATGGGTGGGAGACTGGGTGGGGCTTCTCCCTTTATCTCTCCCTTGACCCCGGATATAGAAAAAAAATGTGGAAACAATGGTCTTACCTAATTTCCTGTAGCCTGTAGCCCTTGGCCCTTTGTGTCCTAATCAACTATGTAAAGATTATCAAAATAAAATAATTAAAAAAAAAAGAATCTGTCAGCCCTCACCGCATAGAAAGGTTTGCAGGTTTATATATATATGTATATATATAAATATATAAAAAATATATATTTTTCCTGGGCAAAGGGTTCAGAGTTCTAAAGGAATTCTTTTTTTTTTTAATTTTAAGATTTATTTATTTTTATTGGAAAGGCAGATATACAGGAGGAGGAGAGGAAGATCTTCCATCCGATGATCCACTCCCCAAGTGGCTGCAACGGCTGGTGCTGTACTGATCCAAAGCCAGGAGCCAGGAACTTCTCCCGGGTCTCCCACACGGGAGCAGGATCCCAAGGCTCTGGACCGTCCTTGATTGCTTTCCCAGGCCACAAGCAGGGAGCTGGATGGGAAGTGGAGCTGCTGGGACTAGAACTGGTGACCATATGAGATCCTGGTGCATTCAAGGCAAGGACCTTAACCACTACGCTATTGCACCGGGCCCCTAAAGGAATTCTAAAGTGAGTTTTTTCCCACCCTCTCCTCACTTCTGAAATGGCTGGTATATACTTTTTTCTCTTGTTATACATGGTAATGATTTGAATTTATTTTTCTCCATTAAGCCACTTAACTGCATCTTCCTAAAGTTCCCACTTTCTATTCTTTGGTCATTTTTGCTGGTGTTGTCAAGGGATCTGTAGTTTGCATCTGCATAATTCCTGCCTGGAATGCAATAACAGCCATCTTGCTAGTATGAAGCAGAAACCTGTGAGGTCTGCAGTGGTCATCTGGTGCTGTGGTTAAGACAGCTTGGGGCTTTCACAGCTCACACTAGTGTACTTGGGTTCAAATCCTGGCTCTATTCCCACAGGGAGGGAGAAGACAAACTTGATTTCCTGGGTCCCTGCACTCCCATTGTTTCTGGATTGTTGCAAGCATTTGGGAAGTGACCAACAGATTGAAGATCTCTCCACCTGTCTCTCTGTCATTCAAATAAATGGGAAAAATGCACGAGGACAAAAGCTGCATTGAGCACAGTGCAACAGGAAGACAGAAGGAGCTGGTGGTGCGGATGGTACCATGGCACCACTGTACCAGGCCTGGACTTACTTCTGGTCTTACTATTTGTGAACAAGAAATTTTATTTGGTTAAGACACCCTGATCCAATTTCTACTCTATGCAACCAAACAAAAATTCCTAATGAATACACACACACACACACACACACACACACACACACACACACACGCACGGTATTTTAAAGTAAATTCATGAACTAATCCTATAATGTTGCCCCTTACCTATTTGCTTCCATCAACGTTGCCACTACCATTCAGAGATAATGAATGTGTTGAGTTCTCAAGTCCAGAGTCCAGGCCCCATCGGAAGAAACCCAAGGGATGGCAGGGGCAAGATCTTTAGGATACTACTGCTACAGACCTAGTTGCATGAGATCTTAGGATGAGAGTCCAATCAAGTCTGCATGTGTAAATCCAAGTGTCATTTCTCTCAAGCGTCTCGAGGGCCACTCGGTTTCTTTAGCCTCCTATCTGCAACATTTGGTTCTTTGGCTGGCCAGAGCAATGGTGACTACTATTGGGCGTATGACTATGTGCCACTGCCAAGAAGACATCAGGGGCAGCCCCCCAGAACATGGGGATTGCCAACTACCTCAGCCACCATCATTGGCATGTAGCTGGACTCAAGGAGACTCGGGATGATCAGACCTAGAAACATCAGACAAGGTTGGAATTCCTCAGGACCAGAATCTGAGCCAGAACTGATGCAGTGGGCAGAAGAGGGTCCTCCAGTCACAACCTGAAGGTACAGGTGGCCCCTGTACTGCCTCAGAAGAAGGGAGTCTACAAAAGGCTAATCTCACTGAGCAGAAGGGGGAACTAAGCATTCCCCACGGTGAAATCCCATGTTGGGATTGCAAAGTTAGACTGACCCTTGGAGAGAGCGAATGTCTTAAACTCCGTGTGGAAGCTGTGTGGATGTGCAGCTGCTCTGGCTTCATTAGCAGTTTGAGTCTGCTAATCCACCACGCAAGCTGTGGGTTATGAGTGGGCCTGCAGCCGTGGTTCTGTGGTGACCCTCCCATGGCAGTCAGGTGACTGAAATCACTTTTGTGACCCTGCACAGTAACAAGCACTGAAACTCTGGAGAGGGGCACAGCTGGATGGACATCTGACTGGTCTCCTGGGGGAGGAACCTCTCCTTCGGTCTTGCATCTCTGACCATGGGAGGGACACAAGAATGAGTAATTCTCCCATTAAGCCCACGCTGTTAGAAAATTTCACAGGGCTTCATAGGAGTCTGTGGGGTGAGAAACCTGCCACTGGAAGATAGCTGAGCTCAGGAGAGCCCAGTAAAAGACAGAAGCTAGGGGAAACAGAAGCTCCAAAGGCCCCCTCCACCCTGGAGGCCAGACTGATTGGAACATAGATATCCAGTGAGACAGAGGCTGGTGGGCCCAGGCCCTTGGGGGTCCCTTCCCAGAGGAGCCTGAAAAACACAAGAGGCTATAGAACAGCCAGGTCAGTGAAGAAACTCAAGATAAAACAGGCCCAGGAATGAAAATAATGGGTGGGTCTAAGCCAGGCCCCAAGGACCAAGCAGATGGCCCTGAGATAAATCTCCAGCTCGGAACAGTGGAAGGTTCCTGGTCAGGGCAGACAGCAGCTCTGACCACATTCAAGGTACAAGCGAGGAAGTGGCCAGAAAAGAGACAGAGAACAGTGGTCAGCAAGGTTACATGGCTTAATGGCTAGAGTACACCTGACAGCAAATTTCACTTAGAAGACTGCTCTCACTGAAGGGCACACTATCGGGTGTGCAAAATAAGAAAACCTAACCGATCTGGGAAGTTAATGTGCTGATGGAAGAATTACTCTTCAACAAATTCATACTTGCATTATGAGTTAGTTAATAACTATCTTAGGTTAACAGATAAATGTTATCATGTGAGCATCATCTCAATCATAAAGGGAAAGCATTTATGAAGCTTAAATTTATGTTAGCCAAGAAATGATTTGACACACAAAATGTGACTACTGTGTCCTGAAAAGCATCTGCTCCATAAATGGAGGCACAGCTGTACTAAAAGTGTTATGCCTCCTGTGGTCTGAACTCAGCCTACACAATGCAAGTACACAATACAGGGTAGTTAGCTGTTCCTGAGCATGTCTCACGTTTTGGCTAGTAGTCTATCAACTTCAACTTTACTTTGTACTCTCCCAGTATATGGCACTGCCCTGGGAAGAACATATGTTCAACGATACTTTTACGAAAATTAAAGAAGTAATAAAAGGTAAAGATTTAGAGGCATACAAAGGGGGTAGTTATTATGACAGAAACAAAGGCAAAAGTCATTAAAAAGGGCCCATCTGGACTATCATCACCTCATGCTCAACATAAACCAGCTGTGATTAAAATCAGAAAATTCTGGTGAAATGCCTTCACCTCTATTCTCATCTATGGCAATCTGCCTTGGAAGATAAGTACGTCTACTCACCAGATTTGGAGTCATCAGAAGTTTTCTGGCAATGGCTATTTATTCACTCTTTCATTGACTGCAACATCACCTTATTTAAATTATAACTGTATGCACTACCATTAACACTGCTCCATGAAAACATAGCTTCCTAGGAATCATTCTATTTACTAACAGATTTGTGCACAAGCATGGTGATCAAACACCAAGGTGAAGCAGAGGATTATTGAGTCTATTTCTTTAAAGATCTGATCTAAAAATAACTACCTCTCTTTTTAGTATATACAGAATACATTAAAAAACAAAATTCAGTTGAGAATAGGCTGGGACTTAAAAAGTGAGCAATGAATGCCCAGCTGAATTAGTTGTATAATTTACATCACAGGGTATTTAGTAGCAAAAGTGGTCTGATTTCCTGTAGCTACTTATCTGTATAAACAGAAGCATTTATCACAGACACACACACACGAGCTCTCTTTCATACAACTTTCACTTTTTATACACAACACATGTGCACACATACATTCTTTTACCTAAGATTTTCAAAGTCAAAAATTCGATTCAGGTCACAGTCGATGTATCTGGTGCATTTCTCCACTGCTCTTGGGTTGGCGATGAAGGGCTGTACCTCCAGTCCTGTTCTCTGGATCTCAGCAGCATTCTCCAGCCAGTGCTTCACCAGGAACACTCCCGTCAGCTCATTGCCATGAGTTCCTCCAAAGATAGCAACCTTTCTTAAAGGCTCTCCAGTGACCTGACAAGAAGTCATTTCACCAAGTAGTTTTTACTGAGTTCTGCAATTCAGAAGACAGGGATATCAAAGGAAACTCAATTGTCTCGCCAAGTAAACTTATATGGGACCTTAACCAAAGTGCAAAGTTCCCTTGGGTGAAGTTAAGTTTTAATTTGCCAACTGCGTAGGAAGCTCTGTTTCCAGACACTTCCCTCTCTAGCCCTGCCCTTTACCATATTTGGGTTAAGATATGCAAAGATCAACTAGAGAGACAGTTGTTTAACTTCTAACTCCCTCAGATGGTCAGAAGATCTAAGTACAATAATCCATTAGTATCCCACACCCCTGCTAAAGCTCTGTTTTCCCTTCAGTTAGAATGTCACTTAATATGGACTTTCAGGATTACTTGGTATAACACAAATAGTTTGGACATTTCTAATCCCCCAAAAGCATAAAAAATGAAAAAGTGGCTCATTCAACATTTATGTTTTCATCAGCATTTCTTTTCTGCAGTCCATTCAGGCATTTTTTTTTTTTTAAATCAGAGGACATTTGACTCTCATAGGTATCAACAACCAAAGGCAGCTCCTCAGAGAAAGAACCACATTAGTCAACACTGGGGCTCACAGCACTACTAGGAAGCATCCGATAATTCCTTTACCAGGACAGTTTTCTTTTATTAAAATAAATTATTTGTCAACTCCCTTAGGGATGTTCCTCACTCTCCTCTTTCCCCAAATACCAAATGAAAAGAAATTTAATATTTTTCAACTCTTTCTAATGCCTGTATGTATCTTGGGACACATTCTATATACTGACTAGGAGTTTATACGAATGTGGCCAAACTCACTGAAAGGTGTTATTCAAAGTGGGATTTTAAAAGATATATTTATTTTATTGGAAAGGCAGATTTACAGAGAGGAGAAACAGAAAGATCTTCCATGTGCTAATTTGCTCCCCAATTGGCCACAAAGGCTGGAACTGAGCCAATCTGAAGTCAGGAGCTTCTTCCAGGATTCCCACACACAGGAGAACGCCCCAAGGCTTTAGGTTATCCTCTCCTACTTTTCCAGGCCACAAGCAGGGATCTGGATGGGAAGTGGAGCAACTGGGACAGGAACTGGTCCCCATGTGGGATCATGGCTGTTGAAATGGGAGGATTAGTCTGTTGAGCCATGGTGGCAGGTCCCTCAAATGGGATCCTATTAGGCACAATTACTCAGAATATAAACAATGGAGGCAAATCTGATTTGATTTCATGCTCAATCACCCAGAAAGTCAAACACGTTCCAATACTAGAAACACTATGTTCTAAATAATGCCTGGCTATTTAATATGGGTACACAAGAGTAACGTATTACACTGTAGCTTGATTTATAGTGCTCTTCCATACACACAGCGCAGTTTATTCATACATCAAAGATAGTATTGGGTGAAGGATTGACGTCTTCACTGAAGGAAAGAGAGGCAAAATAACCTGACTAAATTTCCACAGCTACCTAGGAGAAAACTAGGCCTAAAATCCATATTTTTGATTCTAAGCCCAGTATTTTCTGTAAGACAATAGGGGGCCTCTCTGTTATTTTTGGTCTTCTCTGTAGTCCTGAGTTTGCTCTTTCAGAATTCACATAAACAGCGATTGTTCTGGGCTTGAAACAAAGAAGCACACACACAAAACACGTCACGAACACATCAAATATGAATGCTTCCATTTATTAAATTTAAGTGTATTTAAGGAGATTAGAATGCAGAGAGAGAGTGCGGGGGAGGAAAGAGGGAGAGAGAGAGAGAAAGCAAAAAGAATATATAAATATACATGTTATGTTTTTTGTTCTAGTTAAAGCCCTCACAGCCTCTATTTTCCCCCCATATCCATTTCCGCAAAAACATTTCAAACAGTGCAGCGATGATGCAAACACACGTGAAAGTCAATAGAGTTGTACCAGTTAGTTCCTTTGGTTTGTAGAGCAATGATGAGGGTGAATCCTTAACCCTCGACTACGCCTTGTTTCTTTTCTGCTGTTTGTTGCTCTGCCCTTTGCCCCAGACTCTCTGGAAATACTGCTTCAGTTATTTACTGAATGTCGAACCCCTGTTCTGTGGAATTTTAACAGATTAGCACTCTGAAGCATACTGCACATTCACAAAGTTTCCCTGACCTGTCAAAAAACAAGCCACATTCTTTCTCTATGCTTACCTCGTTCATGGCATTCAGATTTTGGCATCTGTGGAGAGTTTTAGTAGAAAAGAGGAGAGTAATTCCTTAGAACTGGAGCAACGGAGGCTTTTGGGACTCTTACACCAAGTTAACTTCCAAAAGATTTTTAACTCCCTGTTTCCCAGGAGAGCCCTTGATTTTTGGGCCCCCTACAAACCATACATTTTAAAATTAGCCTAGTTCTTCACTGAGAATTCAGAGAACTGGCAGCACAGAAGTGAAACCCACTCTAGTTGTCACTATCTCTTTATTAAGTGGAATACATATTGTTCTGAAGCACTCAAAAGTAAATGCAACAGCTTGCAGTGCCATACGTTTTGGAGGGGGTAAATTTAAGGTAGAGTTGTTTCCAAAACAGAATGGGGACAGAGAAGGTCTTTTCTCTAATATAACATCAGGTGTCTCATGTATAACGCCATTGTTCACTCTACTACTTTTATTTTCTCTGTTGCCTTGTAATTGTTGCCTACCATGACCATCCTTCCGGGTGGAAATAAATAAGTCATAATCAGAACAAGCTAAGGATACTGTTAGTTACTTAAAACAGTTACAGTTCTAGAGTTCTAGGCCTCTTCTCTCCCCACTCCCTCCTGGGGGATTTGAACTCCCAGATCATCTAACTCACAGTTCGTTGAACCTGAAGAAGCAAGGCACGTCCGACTTGGCTATGATGCCCTTAGCCTTCCAGTCAGTGGCGTCCAGGCACATCATAAGTTGTCATCAGAATCTTAGAAACTGATAGTCTAGGAGCTAAGAAACGCCCGAGGAGTTGGAAGAAGGGAGGACCATCATTTTTTGTCCATGCACGGGCAGAAGCCAGTGGGGCAGGGGCTCTGCCACCGCCAGCCTCCCTGGTGACCAAGCCAGGGGCCTACCGTTTATGGGAAAAACAGCAAAAGCCACCCTCCTGCCGTGACCCTCACAGCGTAAGAACACCAAGGAAGGAACCCGAATGTTAGTTCGAGTTCAGCAAAGACCTTTCTAGAACTCGCAGCTTCGCCACCTCGGCAACAGCGGTGAACTGCGCCTGCGTGAGCTCTGGGCGCGCCTGCGCACAAGCGCCTTTCTGCCGCGCCTTTCCTGAGGTGGGAAGGTGGGCCGGACGACGGTTGAGAGAGGTGCGGGTGGAAGGTGTGAGTTGTGTTGGTAAAGAGCCGAGAAGGCGGAGCTCTTGTGTTGAATCTAAATACCAAACTGTCCCCAATCCCTGGCTGGGTCCCAGAAGTTGGGCGAGAACATGAATCCTGTGAGAATTTGTCCCGGCTGCCTTCGAGGGGCCTTCAGCCCCGCCTGAGGCGACGGTTGTTTTGGGGCGAGGGGGCTTGGGGGTGGGTTTGGGAATGAAGTGAACTTGTGGGGGTATCAACGTCACTCAGGTCCCAACGATAGCAGCCCCCCAGTCAGGGGCTGAGGATTCGTCTTTAAGGTTTTTAAAATATCGTTTGCTTACTTACTCGGACAGGACAGCCTTAGATACAGGGTGGGCGTCGCTTTGGTCTTTCAGTGTCTTTCAGGAAAAGCGGCAGCCTCTGATTGGGCTTCTAGAACGACACCAGTTTTAAAGGGCTGCTGTAACAGGTTCCAAGTCCCAAGTGTGGAAACCAAGCGGCGACAGTCCCCAGCCTCTTGTGGCCGAGGGTTTTATGTTGCCGAGCGATATTGGGAAATTAATATTCGCCTCATTCGGATTTGTGTGTTGTTACTGGTTGGTCTCAGGTTTGGCTGTCTCGCAGAGTAATGAACTCGGTTGGAGCAGAGATGGTTCCGTGTAGGTGTGTCACCTGCCTGGCTGGCAAAGGACTGAAATATATTCTGAGGCTTAACATGCCAAACACACAGAGAAAAATCAAATTCTGTTGTGAAAGAAAAAAAAAAAAAGCCCGTTTTACTTGTTGGATTTGTAGAAACTGGAAATTTGTCATTGTCGTTTTTTTAGCCATTTAAATTTTTTAAGTTTTTATTTTTCATGACATAGTTCCATAGGCTCAAGGATTTCCTCTTTCACCCTTCCCATGTGCCCCTCCCCCCGCCCAACTATTTTCCCTATACTACATTGTAATTATTTTTGGTCGTTCAGAGACAACTTTGTGTTGTATCACCCAGGCGGCTCCAGCTAACAAGTGTTCAAAGCAGACGATGGGTCCAGTGCTTTAAAGTGGGCCCCAGAGCTGCCTTGTCCTGGATGCTTCAGCAGTGGGTGTCCCCTCACTTGCTGGCAAGCACTTGTATGCCAGTTCTTCCTCCATTTGCCTCTTCAAAGTGCTGCCCAAGAGCTCTTCCCATTGTGTGTTTTTGATCCTTACAGGCACGGCCTTAGAACAGTGTTTAGGAAGCAACGCTGTAGTTGCCCTGCTCCTAACTGATTTTGAACAGCACTTGGAAATTGATTCGATCATATTTTTTTAAACAAAAGATTAAAAAAATATTTGAAAGAGTTATAAAGGGAGAGGGAGCGAGGGAGCAAGGGAGTGATCCTCCAGCTGTTTCATTCCTCAAATGACAGGACTGGGTCAGGCAGAAGCCTTGAGTCAGGACTCCCATTAGATCTCCAAATTGGATAGTGGGGACTCAGGGGCTGGATTCCTCATCTGCTGACTTTTAGGATTTTAATTTGGGAGCTGAATTTCAAGCAGAGTGGCCAGGACTTGAGTCAGGCACTCAGATAAGGGTTGCAGGTGTCCCGAGTGGGGCTGAAGCCTTTGTACCACAATGCCCATCTCTGTGTTGTCAGTTCTTATACAGGAAGCAGCGGATTCCCTTAAGTGTTATGTTTGAAACCAGTTTAAAATAATAGTTTCTGTGATTGTTAAGCTGAGCTTTTGATTGTGTTGACACAGTGAGTTTCACATTTCTTCAAAGGTTTATCAAACAACTTTGTATACTAAATTTGAATATCAAATAGACTTTGATATTGGAGGAAATGAAGAGAAACCTAAATGAAAATTCAACTCGAAGTACAGCAGGTATTGCATAACTTATTTTAATGTATTCTGTATTTAGTAAATACCATAGAATGCTTACATACATGGTTTATAGATGGAACATTTTAGAAGAAAGATTTTTTTTTTTTTAAAGATTGATTTGTTTTCATTGGGAAGTCAGAGAAGAGACACAGAAAGAGAGAAATATCTTCACAACTGCAATGGCCTGAGTTGAGCCAATCTGAAGCCGGAAGCCAGGAGCTTCTTCTGGGTCTCCCACATGGGTGCAGGGTTCCAAGGCCTTGGACCATCCTTGACTGCTTTCCCAGGCCACAAGCAGGGAGCTGGAAGGGAAATGGAGTAGCCAGGACACGAACTGGCACCCATACAGGATTCTGGTACATGCAAGGACGTTAGCAATTAGGATACCATGCCTGGCCCTAGAATGGAGTTTGAAAAAGACATTTAGTTTAGATGTCTTACTTTTTGACCTAAAGAAGTAAAATAAGTTACTGAAGGAAAGTCTTGACAGCAAAGGTGGGAGTAAGATCAGATGTACCTAGAGTTAATCTGTTGTCCTTCCTACACATCCTCTATGTTTTTAAACTGAAAGCAAATGTATTTGTATTTGTGATGTGTTCAAAATAGTTCCAGAAAATTTTTGTCTTCCCATTAGCTTTTCCTACTATTTCTGTGTTCCCAATAGATTGGCGCACTGTAATCACAGAGTGCAAAAATGATAACACAATAAAGATAATTAAAGCTTATTATTATTTATGCTTTTAAGAATATTATTTATTTGGAAGTCGTAATTATGGAGATAGAGGCACAGACGTGGGAGAGAGTAATCTTCTATTTGCTGGTTCATTCATAAAAAGAGCTATGCAGTGGCTGGGACTGGGCCAGGCTGACGCCAGGGACCAGGAGCTTCTTGGCCTCCTCCGTGGGTGCAGGGGCTGCCTTTTCCAGGCCATTAGCAGTTATTTGTATAGGAAGAGGAGCAGCTGGGGCATGAACTGATGCGCACTTAGAATGTTGATATTGGCGGAAGACAGCTTTACCAACCACATCACTATGTTGGCTTCTATTTGTGGTGTATGTACTGCATGATAGACATTTAAATTAATCCTTACAATACTTTCTAAGATAGGCTGTTAATATCACCATTCTGTTATCCAGAAGAGCAACCAGAGCACAGAGAAGTTAAATAATATATTAATGCTCAGAACCAAAATTTTAAATTTTATGATCAGGCCCTTTCTGTGCTCTTAGTCATTATGGTGTCTTGCTTCCCGGTATCAGTTATTTAGCACAAAAGAGTTTAAGGAAATTGTGCAAGTTTTTACTTTGGGGTTATAATTCCAACATGCTTTGAAGTCATAATTAAGAATCAGGCAGTCTGACTGAAGAGCTCACATAATTCTTGCTTTTTATCAGAGTGTTTGGAGCCAGTATTCTGTAGTAGAGTGATAATGAATTAGCCTGAAAATGCTATAGTGGCAAGACATATGAACTGAAATTTGGGACGCTTATATCCTACCCAGGTTGTTTCAAGGACTTATTATGTAGGAATTTATGAAAATTTTGGACCTCTTTTTCCTTTGAGTTTTCTTCTAGATTTTGGTTTATGTCTCTGACTTTTGGCCTGACTTGGTACTTCAGTTCTGCCATCTTTTAGAATTATTTTCATTTAGGCTAAGTATTATTTCTGCCTAAGACATTCTTAAAATAATCCATAGAAAAGATCATTACAAACACTTGAAGTGCTTTGCTTGAAGTCCTCAAAAATTAGAGCCAGGACAAAACTATTGTAATAAAGTGTAATAAGTGAGATATTGTTACCTGCTTGTTAAGCAAAATTTTGGATAACTTTTAGCTAACCAAAACTTTGAGAATCATGGCTCTAAAAGGTGCAAAGAATATTTAGAGTTTTGAAAAACTTGGTTTTGGTTCTTTACCTCTGTTGCACTGCAGGGTTCCCTTGGATTGGTATATGAGGAAAATTAAAACAAAAAGTGGATTTGGAAAGGGTTAGCAATGAGTAAGGAGGTGGAAATTACTTTCAAGCAGGAGTAATTAAAGCAATATTAATGTAGAATAAGAAAGGATTCTTTATAGTCAAATGTAACTTTAAAAAGAATGTAGAATTTTTGGGCAAGTGCACTGCAGCGTTTGGCTCAGCAGTTAGGTCACCAGTGGTTGATGCAGAGTCAGGGTATTCCACTGTCATCCAGCTTCTTGCTGATGCGCACCCTGGGAAGCAGCACGTGAGTCACTGTCAGCCATGTGAGAGACTGGGAGTGGAATCCCAGGCACCTTGCTTTGGCCTGGCCTAACCTTGGCTGTTGTAGGCATTTGAAAGTGAATCAGTAAATCAGTAGATAAAGTTTCTATCTCTCTCTGCCTTCAAGTAAAATGAGAATAAATATATTTTAAAAAAAATGAATGTAAAATCAATTCATGGGCATGGAACTATATAATAAGCATAATAACATGTAGAAGTAGAAAAATTCAAAATGTGTATTGCATACTAATAATTATTCTACAGCCAGGCATAATTATTTGCCTGTTTTGTAGTCATTTGTTGGCATATTCTATTTAGGTTGTTTGCCTGTACCATTGTTCAATCAGAGAAAAAGGACCAGGCAGCCATTAACTTCGAATCCGCTTCAGAGTGACTCAGGGATCAGCTCTGCTGCCGACAGTTACGATTTCCCTCCTCTACCAGCAGGTAACACAATGAGTCACTGATGATTTCCAGGAAACAAAATGACCAATTCTCTCTCATTATAATGAAACAGAAAGTTATGATTTTCTTCTTTCCCCTACCTGAAAATGGATATTATTTTGCTATTTCTGAGAATTCCAGGTTAATAGTTCGTGTATCTACAAGGGCAGCTTAGCACTTCCACAGAGTATCTTAGAGTTCAAGGTTTTATTCTAAAAAACTTGCATTGTGAAGTTCTTTTTCTTTCTCAAAACACATAGATATTCTGACTTATACACTCATTGGTAAAGAATAGAAAAATTCAGGTTGCCTCAGGAATGGGAAGTGTGCATAGAAGCAGGAGAAAAATAATAAAAGACTTTTGGAAGAGAAGAAGCCCAAGAATTTCTGATGCCTGGCCTTGATCATTTTCTTTTTCTTAAAACATTTTGCTTTTCTTCATTTGTTGACTCCGCACTCTGCTATGATCTGAAAATTCCTATATTGAACCTTAATCGCCAGAGTGGTGTTGTTAAGCGATGGGCCCTGTGGAAGATGATTATAGGATTAGGCAATTTATAAAAGAGGTACAAGGGAAATGTTTTTCTCCTCTGGTTGTATGAGGACACAGTAAAGGCACCATTTGTGAAACTGAGTCAGCCTTCACCAGATATTGAGTGTATTGGTGCCTTGATTAGGACTTCTCAGCCTCCAGAACTACTACAAGTAAATTTTATTATCAATTATTCAATCTTAGGTGTTTTGTTATAGCATCTCAAATGGTCTGATAACTCACTCATCCAGTCTGCTGCCTTAAAGATCCAGCTAGCGCAACATGAATTCAATTGTCATTTCTGGAAGTGTCCATACTTGTAGTTTACAGAGGCCATTGGTTAGCTGCCTTCTGTGTCTCTTGATATTTTGAATCCTAGAGACAGAGAGCCTCTGGCATACCTAATCTTTTAAATGGCTTCACTTTTTAATTGTTGGGAGTGCTAAATGTTTGCTGGTTGTTTTTCTCTTGGTAGAAGGTATGGGCAGGCAGAAAATTCTGAAATATACTTGTTATATACGTTTACATTTTAGGGCAAACTCAAAAATTCTGAATAGGATCTTATTATACACTTAAAAATTTCAAATATCAAATAAAGCAATACTTGTTTTACTACTTTCATCCAGCATTATCCTATAGACTTTTATCATACTTCTGAATTGGAATTATTTTATTGACATCTGCATTTGTGGAAGTAAACAAGTATGAAGTAACTATTCTTAAAAATACTGCGTGTCTTACTTTGATCTCTGTTACTTTTGAGACTGGGCCTGGGAAGCTGCAAATCCAGAGTTGGCTCCTCTAATGAAAACAAGGAGCACAAGGTATGTTAAAAAATATGTATGTGTGTGTTACCTATTTTTGCTCCTCTGTATATATTTCATATTTATTAATTTGAAAATAGGCTATTAATATTTAACAAAAATATTTTTTCTTGGAAGTCAAACACCACATTCAGTTTCTCATCCCCCGAGAAGTCAGGAGTCTGTGTCTAAACTTGTCCAACCCGATACTGACAGAGGCCAGAGTGGATGGAGGTAAGTCTACTTAGTTTTCTCTTTTATTCCCTTGTCTCCTTTTCCTTTTATACCTTTTGTTTCTTTCCTTGGCTTTCGTCTCTTCTTTTCTTAGGGAGAATGACATTTAAGAAATTTCCAAAGCTAGTTAACTATAGTATTTGCATTTAACTTGTGTACATCTTCCTGTGTATTTTAAATCATCTAGAGGTGACTTAAAAACACCTAATGCAATGTAAGTGCTGTGTAAATAGTTACCACTATATTGTTCAGAGAATGATGACAAAAAGGATGTATTATCAGAATAAACATTTTTTCAAATATGTTATGTGCATCTGAATTCCTAGATATAGTATCTACAGATATGGACTTCCTATGGTATAGTTTATTTGTCTTTTTAAAAAAAGATTGATTTATTTTTATTAGAAAGTCAGATCAGAGAGAAGGAGAGACTGAGAGAAAGATCTTCTGTCTGTTGATTCATTCCCCAGGTAGCCATAACGGCCAGAGCTGAGCCAATCCAAAGCCGGGAGCCAGGAGCTTCTTCTAGGTCTCCCACGTGGATTCAGGGTCCCAAGGCTTTGGGCTGTCCCTCTACTGTTTCCTCAGACCACAAGTAGGGTGCTGGATGGGAAATGGAGCAGCTGGGACTCAAACCAGCATCCATATGGGATCCCAGGTGGTGCATGCAAGGCGAGGATTTAGCTACCAGGCTATTGCCCCGGTCCTATATATTTGTCTTTATCATTGAGTTTCATACTTCTCTGTTATGTTGCCATTTAACATGTCTTTGTCATTTTAAATAATTCTCCTTCATATTTCTTATAATGTGTAATAGTAAGATCTTTAAAACCCTTGGTGATTGTTGGAGAGCCTTATTTTAAATACTCATAAACCTCAGCTTTCCATTATCTCCCAGGCATTTTGATGAGACAGAAGGGAATTTATTTTCTTTTCAGTACAGTAATATCTTTTGTGCTGCTGTGCTTTTCCACGCCAACAGCTTCCCTTCTTTTAGATGGTTCTGGCTTTTCCAAAATGAGAAAAAAAATTGGAAATATTAGTTTTTTTTTTTTTAAAGATTTGTTTATTTTTTATTGGAAAGGCAGATATACAGAGAGGAGAGACAGAGAGGAAGATCTTCTGTCCAATGGTTCACTCCCCAAGTGGCCACAATGGCTGGAGCTGAGCCAATCCAAAGCCAGGAGCCTCCTCCAGGTCTCCCACATGGATTTAGGGTCCCAAGGCTTTAGACCATCCTCGACTGCATTCCCAGGCCACAAGCAGGGAGCTGGATGGAAGTGGAGCTGCCGGGATTAGAACTGGTGCCCATATGGGATCCCAGCATATTCAAAGCAAGCACCTTAACTGCTACGCTATCGCGCCAGGCCTGGAAGTTGTAGTTTTTTGAACCTCTCTCCAGGACCTTTCGAGTATTGCTCTTCCCACTGCTGATTTTGTATTACAGTCTAAAACCAAATAAAGCAATACTTGTTTTACTAATTTACTAATATAAAATTTTACAATTGAAAATTTTATTTGAGGGATAGGGATGGCAGACAAAAAGAGTAGGAGAAGGGAAGATGACACATGCCTTTATATATATATATAAAAAGTTGCAGTGTAAGTTCTGTTGTTCTGATAAAATGGTTCTTACATATATATATATATATTTTAAATTAAGACTGTATGGGAACTAACAGAGCTGTTATTTTCCATCCTATTACTCTGAATTGTGAATAATTGAGTAAAGCACTGTCAAAAGATCCAAAATTCGTAAAGGAGACTTTACTGTAAAATTAGTGATGCATAAAAGCATTGGGTTTTTATTTGTATTATTCCCTTCAAAGTCATGGCTTCATCCATGGGCCAGAGAAGAAACCAGTGATGTGAAGTGTTTGGTCTCTGTAATGTGTTGTATCCCCTTGGGTTGCCTATTTTATTCTAGTGATGCTCTTGGGGCCACTGGTCCAGTTGTTGGGTGGCCAGCTTTACCTTTGCATACATTTAGTCCTCTCAACGTCCTGGGCTTAGAGTCCACAGTGAACCTCTGAGACTAGCTTTTCTCCAGAGAGAACAATCTGAGGGACATGCTGTCCTTTATCCTGCTCAGGAAGCAGTACAACATGGGGCTCAAGGTCTGTTTGGGGTGTAGGGGACCTGTCTAAGCTGGATTGGCTTCCAAGGAAGCATCTGTGTGAGGGACATGTTCATTAAGGTGAATAAGACCTTAGTTATCCCAGGACTGTTTCCCAAGCTAGGGGCACCTTCTGAAATGTTGGGGGGAATTTCAGGTGTACTGTAATGTAAGTAGTTGTGAAGCTGAGACTTTCTGTACTGTAAATAATGATTTCCACAGCCATGAGAGAGGAAAGACAAAGCTGTAGTTCTATCTCTCTGATGAAAATAAAACTGTAAAATTAAAGATGTGATTATATGCAGAGATAGATGAACAGTAGAGGAAAGATGTCTTATAGTAGTATGTCAAGCAGTTAATAGTAACATCAATGTTTATCTGGATATTGTGATATTTATGATGTTTATAACTTAAAATTTCATCTTGGATTATTATTTCCATCCTTAATTTTATACCTAATTTACTTAATACTTCCCAAATTGTATAAACTTTAGATCCCATAAAATCCAGGTTTGTACCTGAACGCTAATGAGCCTAGACCATTTTGGACTATTTTTTTTAAAGATTTATTTATTTATTGGAAAGTCAGATATACAGAGAGCAGGAGAGACAGAGAGGAAGATCTTCTGTCTGATGATTCACTCCCCAAGTGACCGCAACGGCCGATGCTATGCCGATCCGAAGCCATCATCCAGGAACTTCTTCCGGGTCTCCCACATGGGTGCAGGGTCCCAAAGCTTTGGGCTGTCCTTAACTGCTTTCCTGGGCCACAGGCAGGGAGCTGGATGGAAGTGGAGCTGCCGGGATTAGAACCGGTGGCCATATGGGATCCTGGCACGTTCAAGGCGAGGACCTTAGCCGCTAGGCCATGCCGCTGGGCCCTGGACTATTTTTTTTAAGACTTAATTATTTATTTGCCAGAGAGAGAGAAAGATCAATCATGCACGTGCTGACTCACTCTCCAAATGGCTGCAATGGCTGGAGGTAGGCCAAACAAAACTAGGCACCAGGAGCTTCTTTTGGAACTTCCACATGGGTGCAGGGCCTTTAATACTTGGGCTTTCCTAGAGGACAAGTGCATTAGGAGGGAACTGGATCAGAAGCAAAACAGCTGGAACTTGAACTGGTGCCTGTATAGGATGCTGGCGTTGTAATGCAGCAGCTTTAACCATTTATGCCACAATGCTGGCCCTGGACAGTTTTCTTAAACAAGTTATGGGTTATATTGATTGCCTTCTTGTAATGCTTGTGATATCTTTAGGAACATTATTCAGAATTAGGAATTTATAACTTGGACTAGTCTTGTTAAATTATTAATCTCAGAAATTATACTTTGATTTTCGCTTCATTAAATGTTCTAATCAGCTGACAACTACTCAGATTAGTGTAGTTTATACATTCTACCACAGGTTCATGAGTAGGGCTTTTAAACTACACAGTAAAAGTACAAAATATCTGATAAAAGAAATGTTTACATTGTCTTTGTTTTCTTTTGATTTAAAATCATTGACAAACTATAGTTTCGCTTTAAAGATTTTTTAAAGATTTATTTATTTTTTATGGAAAGGCAGAACTACAGAGAGGAGAGACATAGAGAAAGATCTTCCATCTGGTAGTTTGCTCCCCAAATAGTGCAATGGCTGGAGCTGAGCCAATCTGAAGCCAGGAACCGGAAGCTTCTTCTGGGTCTCCCACATGGATTCAGAGTTCCAAGGCTTTAGGTCATCCTTTACTGCTTTCCCAGACATCAGGCATGGAGCTGGACAGAAAGTGGAGCAGCCAGGACTTGAACTGGTGCTCATGTGGGACCCAGGTGCATGTAAGGTGAGGACTTACTCTAGGCTGTTGCACCGGGCCCCACTTTGTGGATAATTTTAAGAAAAAGTGTTAACAAACATGTGCTTAAAGTCTTACTGCTTTAAGATACCCACCTCAGTACAAAGGCTAGTATAGTTTAAAAATCTTTTATAGCCCCAACGTTCTCCAGATTCTGGACTGGTAAGTAACTTGCTGTATTACTTTGGGTATGTTATATCTACAAGGGGTCAGTATCCTTATCCGAAGAGAAATAGTAATTGTAGGATGATGATGTGTTTGGGATTTCTAACTAGTTAATTAAAAATCACTTTATAAACATTGCCATGAAAATGAAATGTTTGCATAAATTGCTTTTTAATTAAAAAAGCATAGAGAAATAACTAACTTTTGTTTTTGCTATTACAGTTACAGAGGTGGCAACAAAACTGCCAGTTTACAGATTTGGGATAAAAATGATACTACATCTCAGTGTAAAAGAACAAACCCAATGGCAAATGATGGAAATAACTTTTGTCCAGTGAATTTGGGAGCTCAGCGCCAGAAACAATTCAAAATGTCTGAACGTCTTAACTTATCTCATCACGGAGAAACTCAGGAACTCAGACAGACACATTCACCAAAGTTATCTGGTTCCACAGTAAAAGGCCTAGGTGAAAATAGTGCATCACAGGCATTTAAGCCAAATTTACAGCAAAATCAATTTAAGAACAAAATGCTGGATGATATTCCAGAAAAGAGCACTCCAAAGGTAAAAATTTAATGGCTTGCTTATTAATTTTTTGAGAATATGAGGTAAATAAGTTTTTGGAAAGCTGCAAAGGAAGTAAGATTTGAAATTGATCCCATGACATACATGACTCGAATAGCACAAATACCCAGTTCCGTTGGAGTCAGTTAGATTTTAGCTTGCAAAATATTTTCTTTGAGGGGTGGTGACTGCTCCTTTGCATAATTCCTTTAGACTTTTCCTATCATATTTGATATTAACCTTTTATTTATGCATATGATGGAAAATTGCTTATTTTTTTGCAGATGACTTTTAAAATATAATTCTAAGTTTTTTTTTTAAACAATAGAGTAGAAAATGTTTTCTGCAAAAAGACAGACAGTAAATATCTTTGACTTTTTGGGCTGTAACCTTTTTGTTGTGCCTGCTCAGCTCTATCACGCAACTCTTGGCCTGTAGCTTGAAGCAGCCACAGACATACGTAAGTGGATGTGCTGTGTTCCAGTGAAGTTTACAAAGATCCCCAAAAGTGGGTGGGTTAGATTTGGAGGGGACTGCATTGTTTTTTAACCTCTGCATTAGAGTCTTGTCCTAAGTTCCTTGCTTTCTATTTCGTATTTTACTAATTCTTTAATGTTTTATCCATTTCATACTCTTCATGGTTCTGTAAACATGGCATGTAGTTTGATAACATCTCTGCTTTGGTTTGTGTCTTGTCTCTAGCTTTACTTCCTCACTGTACACACACTTTGGTTATTCTTTGTAAACATTTTCTATATAACATAGTTAGGGAGGAATAGGTGAATAATCGCCTTCCACTGCTTGACCTAACAGATTCTGTACCCGTTGTTTTCTGGGTTCTGGCAAAATGAAACATCCTGCAAAGGCATAATCCTGGGATCCATTACTTAACAGCCAGGAGGAGTCACTAGGAGGACATCAAAGGGTGGGAAGGGTTGGTTAGATTTCTCCCTTTTTTTCCTTATTTTAAAATGTATGGCTAACTGTGGTTGTGTTCCTGCATGGCATAACCCATTCATTAGTCCAGTTTTATTGAGTTTTGAAATTTTATTTTTTCTTCTAGTCTTTTCATCATGGGAGTATCTTACTGTTTTTAGTCCTTGGGTGCTTAAGTATCTTATGTTTGTTCTGCCTGTATGTTTGCAAAAAAAAAAAAAAAAGTCTTTGCAATGAACTTTTGGTGAATAGCTTTTCATAGCAAAGCATTTTTCAAATGAATGACTGTGTCTGTTTCCCTGTTAGAGAATGAGTACATTAAGGAAAGTAATTGTTTTGCTAGTATGAGTTTGTACAGGATCTGCCTCTTGGTGCTTCAGAAATATTCAACAAATGAAAAATGAATGGATTCCTGTAATAAATAATTCTCTAGTGTTTTCAAATGCATCTTAGTTTCTTCTCTTACAATATGGCAATGATTGCTTTAACTTAAGGAAGTGATTGTATTGACATTCTGCAAAGTTCTTTGTGCACACTTTATTCATTTGTCTATTATAAGGAGGTGAAAGATGAAATACAAAATAATTTTCTAATGTTTTTTTTTTCAAAAGGAAGCCTCATTTCAGTTACATTTTAAAGAAAAAACTAATACTTTAAGAATTGTTTCTGCGGTTATTGAGAGCATGAAGTATTGGCGTGAACATGTACAGAAAACTGTACTTCTTTTTGAAGTATTAGGTATGTATTGTACTTCAAAAATATTTCAGTAACGCTGTTTGGAAAACAGTTTTTAATATCAGTAGCAATGTCAAGGGGATCTTGGAAAATGAAGTCATGTAAGAGGAGATTGTAATTTGTTGTCACTTTTTTTTTTGGTTAGTCATTGATTTATATGAATTAAGTGGTTATTTGTGTAGTAGACTTCTGATTCATAATGTTACAGTTGGAAAGACTGCTTCAAGCAGTCTATATTAGTCCATGAAGTTAGGTGAGGAATTGGAAAAAATGAAACAAATAAAGTATGAGAAGACCTGACTGAAATCACAAAGTAAGATAACAGCAAAAATAGACCTAATAATGAGGCCTTCTTATCACAATCTAGTGTTATTTCTTCTATATTCCACTAATCTAGAATTTTATGTGCTGAATATTAAGTCATATTTTAATTAATCTGAAAGAATATTTAGGGAACTTTTTTTTACTGCTAAGAATAAACACCCTATAGTTAATTTGTTATCTTAAAATGTAGACAATGCATACTATAAAAAACTATAAATGAATTACAAAATTTATGGCCAGTAATTAAACTCATACTTTTAATTTAATTTTTCTAAATTCTTAAGTGAAGTCCCTCTAATAGTTTGTTTCTAAGTTTGAGAGGGTCAGGAATTTTTTTTTTAGTATAAAATTGTGTCAGGAAAATCTGCTTCTTAAAACATTCTTATTGCTCTGTGATAGAGCTATCTTGATCATTAGTCCAGCTTTCTTGAGTTTTGTAATTTTGTGTTTTCTTCTAGTCTTTTCATCATAGGAGTAGAGTAGTAAGAGTGTCTTAATCTTATTTTAGCTTTTGGGTGCTTAAGTACCTTATGTTTTTTCTGCCTATATGTTTGCAAAAGAAGTTTTTTCAATAGCAGTTGGTCAGTAGCATTCCTTGGCAAAACACTTTTCAAATGAATGTGGGGGAACAATGATTTAAATATGTGTTACATTTTGTTTGCATTTTACCCATATTGATTTTTTCCTTATTTCAATGTTGCTTAAGCTGTTCTAGATTCAGCTGTTACACCTGGTCCACATTATTCAAAGACTTTTCTTTTGAGAGATGGGAAGCATACTGTGCAATGTGTATTTTACGAGATTGTGAGTACTTTTAAAGTATTATTTATAGAATCTATACCAGCAAAATATAAAAATACAGGCTATAATTCCATTGCAATAGAAGTTCCATTAACATTTTAGTTGTGCTTTAAGTTTTCTTTTGGTTTTAGTTCTGATATTAAAGCTATGTATTTGGTTAACTAATATGAAGTTTCTGCTGTGTGTCAGACACTGCTGGATGCAAGGGGAATAAATGGAATGTGAGAGTAGCTTTGTGCAGTGGCAGTATCATAGCCAATGAGGTTTATGCGCGGGCTGATTATTGCTAATTGAAAACCTTTCCCTAAAATGGAATGAGAGTGATAAATGGCTCTTTCAGAGTTTATAATTTCAAGTAGAAAGATGTGTAAATGTTACACTGTGGTATATATTCATGATAGTGCTGTTTATTCGGAGTACTCTTGAAGTGAATCAGAAGGATTTTCAAAGATGATAGCAACTTAGGTCTTTAAGTAAGGACTTTTTAGGGTTAACTTTAGTATTTCTAGTTAAAGTATTGGATAAAGTGAAGTGGATTGCAATGAATTCTAAAGCAAAGGAGCAGCAGATGCAGAGGCACGAAATTAAGAGGAAGCCTGACATGCTCGGGGAACCAAAAGTTACTTTATGATTGCCAAAGTGTGGAATTTGTAGGAGTAGGGTACTGTTTCTGAGAATTGGTGAAAGGAGTAGGCTTGGATATCAGTAAGAGGCTTGGTGACAGACAAGACTGTAAATGACAAAGGACTGGGGCCTTTTGTGACCTTTGTATACTTTGTAAATGGTATTACATTAATTCTGAAATTTGTCTCAATTCTGAAATCATACTTGGATTCTAGTATTTGCTTAACTGTATGATCTATGCTGCTTAAACTATCTGAGCTTCAAATTTTTAAAAAAAATATGTAGAAGAGGGATTAACCTACTTTGAGAAATAATAAAAGAAATTACATGATAAAACATAAATGTTCAGGATCCAACACATACAAATCAGAAGCAACACATAAATATTATATTTATTTCTACATCTTGAATGTTTATTATTTTTCTTTAATTAAAAAAACTCTGTTATTGAAGTATAATGTGTTTAGAAAAACACACATTGCTGCATAGCTCTATGAAGTCTCACAAAATTAATGCTGACCAGATTAAGAAACAGAGCCTTACCATCATCTCTGAAACTGTTTTGCCTCCTCCATCCACTGTCTGCTGTCTTCTGCCTAGAAGTAACCATTGTTGTGACTTAATGTCAGAAATCCTCTTCCTGCTTTTGAAATTTATATAGATAGTATCCCAGGGCATTTTAAAATGTCTGATTTCTTTCACTCAGCATATTTGTAAGATCTGTCTGTATTTATGTATGTAGCTGTAGTTCATGCATTTCTATTGATATGTATTTTTTTCTGTTATATAAATGTATCACAATTTCATGTTTCAATTTATTTTTGGCGAGCATTTGGGTTGTTTTCAGACTTTTGGTTATTCATAACGCTATAGGCATGCATTTGTGTTTGGGATGTACCTAGAAGGTGAGTTAGCTGGATCATAGATCATGTGTATGTTCTGATATAGTAGTTACTGCCACAGATTTTTTCTAAGAGATTGTGTCAATTTAGGTACTTTCAAGCAGTGTATATTTTCTGTGTGCTCTTGCCAACAAGTGGCAGTGTCAGTATTTTAGCCATCTGGTGGTTCTCTCAGTTTAGTGTTCTTTCAGTTTTTCATGATTTCCTGTTACTAAGGAAATTATCATCATTTCATGTTTGATTTTTCAAGATTTCGCTGATTTGAAAGTCAGAATTACAGAGAGGGAGAGGGAGCTTTTTCATACACTTATTTATTTCTGAAATGACCATGAGGGTGGGACCAAAGCCAGGAGCTTCATCCGGTCTCCCACATGGATAGTAGGGACTCAAACACTTAGGCCATCATCCAGTACTTTCCCCTAGGCCCTTAGCAGGGAGGTGAATCAGAAGTGGAGCAGCCCTGACTTCAACCAGTATCCTTGTGAGGTGCATGAGCTGTTGTAAGCAGCGGCTTTTCCTACTTCACCGCAACACTGACTGCTTCATGCTTACTGACCATTTAGATACCATTTAGTTGTGGTGTTATTTGCCTTTTTCTTATTGATCAGAGCTTTAATAAAGTTATTCTAGGCACAGATTTTTTTTGTCCATTTTGTGTATTGTAAATTTTAAAAATTATACTGTGATTTTCATTCTTAATAGTAGCTTTTGCTTAATTTTTTATTTTAATGTAATTTTATCAATATTATTTCTTATATTTAGTGCTTTCTGTAGCCATTGAGTGAAAGTCGTTTTAGAATGTTTTAATTTTATTCATGGTTTCTTTATTTTCATACTCTTTCAGATGTGGTCTGTGTTTCCTCACTGTCTTGTTATGGCTTTGATGCATACAAGGGTGCTTATTTTGGCAGCACACATACGAAACTGATACAAGGAGATTTTTAGCAGCATATTTAATCCAGCTTCTTGTTTTCACCTGGATAAACTCACCTCTTTTGGCAGTTACTGAAAGTAGAACTCTGGCAGTTTGGTAAAAGAGTGTGCCATTTTGTCTTGGAAGCCATGCCCCTTCCAACTGAGGGTTTGTCCTCTTGATAGGGCACCCATAGATACCCATATATGCATCTGCCTATCATAGTTTTGTCAGCAATGGGGGCCTAGCTCAGACATTTGAAATACTGATGAAATTTTTTTATATCATACATACAGGATCGTGAACTTCCAAGACTGATTAGAGGCCGAGTTCATAGGTGTGTTGGAAACTATGACCAGAAGAAGAACATTTTCAAATGTGTTTCTGTCAGACCAGCATCTGTTTCTGAACAAAAAACTTTCCAAACATTTGTTAAAATTGCTGATGCTGAGATGAGATATTATACTAAAGTAATGAATGAAGTTTAGATAGGGATAAGGGGACTTTAAAATACTGAATACTAAACTGAAGCATTTTCTGTTATTATTTAATTTATTATCTCCATGGTTTTATCATTACTACATTTATACGTATTACTTGTTGAATTAAAATATTTAAATCTCCTCATGCAAATATTAAGTGGGCCTGACCCTACATGGCTTCTGAGATCAAACTTGGGTATATACAAGGTGTTTAGTAGAAGTAGTGAGGATATGGGCAGGTTGGATAATGGATACTAAAATACAATGATATGGAAGGAATATATTCTGGTGCTGTATGGTACAACTAAGGGTCTGTGGTTCACAGTGACTATAATGACTATAATTTTGTGACTATAATGAGGAGCTCAAATGCTGTGAACATGGGAGGAGTGATGATGGGAGGTGAAGCTTTAGATAGCCCTGATTTATACTCATTGTATGTTCACACAGGTATTGGAATGTAGCATTGTACACTATGGGCCAGAGCTATTGCTCTGTGTTTATTAAAGATAAAATAAAATAAAATAAAATATTTAAAGCTTTATATATGTGAAAAGCATTTCTGAAAAATAACTTATTGCTTATATTAAAATGGCATATTTGCTAATATTCAATATTAATTTGACCTAGTAGTTAAGACCCCAGGGTGATGCCAGGATTTCATTTCAGAGTGCCTGGGTTGGGGCCCAGATATGCTGTTGATTACAGGTTTCTGTTAATATGTCTTCTAGGAAGCAGTAGACACAGTGCAGGTAGTTGGGTCTCTGCCCTCCTCCATGTGAGAAACCTGGATTGAGTTTCTGGTTCTTGCCTTTAGCCTAGTTCAGGCCTGGCCATTGAGGGCATTTGAGAAGTGAACTGATGGATGTACACTCTGTGTGTCTGTCTGTCTATATCTGCCTCTCTCTCTCTCTTTTTTTTTTCTCTCTCTCTGCTTGTAGAATATATAAATGTTAATGTTAGTCTCATGATCAGCTTCAGGGTGAGAAAAGAGTGGCACCAAAAGGCAATCAGGAATAAATGGAAAATGGCAGGATGTTGGTAGGTTTAGGCTATTATTAAGTTTTTTTCAAGAGCCATGAGAAGCTATTTTTTATTTCTGTTTTGATATCAGGAGAAATTAAATGTGGTCTGGGATAGTTCATCTTTTATTCTATTTAACAACATGTATCTGCTTGTAGCTGGGTCATAAAAATTTCATCTTTGTTAGTGACAGATTTATCTCTCTCCTGGTGTATGTTTGTGGGGACTTGGTTTATAGTGAGATATTATCTCCCTTACAATGTATCCAAAATATCTTTCCTAGTGGTACTCTAGGAAATTAAAGACCTCTGAAAAATTTTTGTGGGCCATAGGATAATGCCTACATTTTTGTATTTCTATGTAGAGATTGAAACTCTTCTTTAATATTTATTTTATGTCTTCTCTAACCATTCTGCACCTCCCAATATGTGGTCCAGCCACACAGATCTATTCTTCATTCCCTAGATGGACAATGACTAAACATTGATGGTGAACTGCTTTCTATCAATGTTTCCACACACAGTCAGGTGTGATCAGAGACTGTAATCAGTCACTAATTTAGGACTCTCAGAAAATTGGTCCTGAAAAAGTCATGGGAAATTACTTTTTCTTTAATGAATTCCTTCTGGATCTGGCTCCTTTGGGGTGCAGGCCCCCTAGGCCCAGGGGTTGGTAGAATGAGACATTTAGAAGAGGTGGGTGTCAGACACAAGTGAGGACTACGGGGGCTGAATAAAGGGCAGTGGGATGTTGGTTCAAGACCCTGGTGTCACTCTCAGACATCCTGGACCGCTGAATGGGAGGGTGAAAAGCTGGTGCCCTTGTGTCTTTCAAACTAGGACAACCTGGTTTCCCAAACTGTGTAATGCTCTGTTGGGCAGTTCTTCAGGTATAGTAACATTTCTCTTCTCTGTTTCCCTGCTATCCCAATAATGTGCCACACTGTAGATTCATATTAATATTCACTAGTTACAGTCTTTAAAAATTATAGTATTCATGATGATCATTGAGTGTGCATGCAGTCTCACAAGAGACTATCACATAGTAACATCTTAGTGAGGTAGACATTTAATGCAGAGGCCTTTTAACTTTGACTATATATTTAAATTACTCAGGCTACCTCCTAGAGATTCCAATTACATTTATTGATGGAGACATTCTATTTTAAAAAGTGTATGATCTTGCAATTTAAAATATGATCCGTAGATAAAGGCATTACCAACTGTAAATCAGAACTTTTGAAATGTAGAATTTTGGCCCCACATTGGGTGTACTGAACAAAAATCAGTATTTAACAGGGTCAACAAGTGGTTGGTATGTAAAGCATAATTTTAGAAGCACTTTCATGTGATTCTGTGTGCAGTGCAGTCTGAAAACTCTGGATTTACCAGGTAAAGATGAGAGGGCACTGTGAGGGGAGCAGCTGAAACTCATGTGACTTACTGGTGGCTGTATTTCCAAATTATATTGAGCTGGTCTGTGATTCCTAAACAAGACTTCTAATGCTAGATATGATGTCATCTTCCAGGAAAGCAGCATTCTGAGAAATTTCGCTTGGTTCTTTTAAACTGAAACACAGGCACATTATAGCCAAGTGTAAATAACTGTTATTATTTTTTTGCCATAGTAAATAGCAGGATGAAGATCCCAGCAACTGGTCTTAGCTATATAACATCAGTGGAGGAACTTTCCATGTGTTTCATGTCCCTCTCCAGCTTCTTTAGTCACCTCTGAGGCACTTTGAGATACAGGTATCAAAACTAAAGCTTTAAAGGTAGAAATTATTTTCTTCAAATTGCTAAGCTTCTCAGAGATATTTAATATTGAATCACATGTATATGAACACAGGGAACAAAGTGTGACGTGGTCATGCGTGTCGGTTGTCTGCTAAGTCTAAGGAACAGTGTGGTTGGGTAATCAAGCATTTTCTAAGCATTTCCAAAGTTAAAGCTAGTAATTGTGTAATGGGTGTCAAAAGCTAGTGCTAGATGGTTAAAATTCATGTGTCTTTATTCTGGAAGGATTTAGTAGGAGTGCTTATTCTAATTCAAATGGGGAATTTGATGCCTTTAAAGTTTGATGAATATAACAGTATGCCTTTTCCTGAAGGAAAAATCATCAAATATGAATGAATTATTTGCTACAACTAGGCACCATGCCAGGTCCTGGCTCTGTAGCAGTCGTGAAGCTACACATGGTGTTTGTTGTCTGGAGTTGAGCATTTGATACCAAAGTCAGCTAGAATGTAATGATTAGGGCATTGAGTGCTATGGGAAGAGTACAGGATGCCATGAAAACACAGAGCAGGTTACACAAGGGCTAGGGAAGCAGGGAATGCTTTTCTGAGCGAGTGACCATTAATATACTATGTGAACACAGTGCAGAGGGAAGAAGGTGCGGGGCAGGAGGACAGCAAGTGTGAACTTCTGGACAATGAAAACTATGACTTAGAAAGCCAAAATGCTGAGGTGTGAGACACAGCAGTGATTATTCTTGAAATAGATGAGTGTGTGAAACTGCAGGGTCAGGTCATGAAACACCTTCGGGTGGTTCTTAACAGGACCTTTGCCTTTATCTTACAAACAACAGGAATCCATGAAACTGTAAACAGAGGGATGATGACCATTTTTTAAAAATCTTAGAATGCCATCCTGTGAAAGGAGTGAAAGCATGGAACAAGAGATGAAGTAATCGACTCCAGAATCCAGAAAAGACATGTAAACTTGGTCGAGAGAGTGACAGTTGGGATAAACTATTAAGTTAGACTGAAATGGCACCATTTATAGGACTTTCTAGACTAGGTATTTAAAGTGAAAGGAATGAATGAATGAAAGAAAACTCTCATGTTTGAAGCTTGACCCTGGCTTAATTTTACAAAGATGTAAGAGACTGGAGAGCAGATTGGGAGAGGGAGGACAGTGAGCCGTGAGTTTTATTTGAAAGCTGTTGAGCTAAAGAGGGTCCTGGTGATCCATGGGGGGACAATCAGTAAGCAGTTGTTGATAATGGTACTGAAGGGGATAGAATGGCATTCTCATGAGCTTTAGATGGTAAATGAGGTTATAGGAATAGGCAAGGTCTTTAAGGTCTCTTTCTGTAGAAGTATCAGAGAACAGTGTTTAGGAAAAATACCCTAAGAAAAAGAAATGTAAACATAATGATCAGAGAAGAAACCAATTACAGTCATTGAGGATGAATGTGCAGGGAAATATTAAAAGAAAGTGTGTTGCAGTGTGATCACACAGAAACTAAAATATGATCATATTTTATAAAGAAGGAGTTAATATTGTTGGACCTATTGAGAAGTAAAGAAATAAACTTTAAAAGCATCTTTAATGTAGCTATATATAATATTTATGATTATATAGATATGATTATTGAAGATGAAACCAACCATTGAATGATGTCTAACAGATCATATATCATAGCTGCATTTTTGTTCTTACTCATGTTTTAAAGGGATCTTTAGTATTTCATCTTAAAGAAATTGGAGACAGAACATGACAAGAGGGAACCAAACGGTGATTGCTGAGTTTCTCCTTTTGGGTCTACCCATTCAGCCAGAGCACAAACACCTGTTCTACGTTCTTTTCCTGGCCATGTACCTGACCACTGTCCTGGGGAACCTCATCATCGTCGTCCTCATCCTACTGGACTCCCATCTCCACACACCCATGTATTTGTTTCTCAGCAACTTGTCCTTCTCTGACCTCTGCTTCTCCTCTGTCACAATGCCCAAGTTGCTACAGATCATGAACAGTCAAGTCCCATCCATCTCCTATGCAGGATGTCTGAGTCAAATGTACTTTTACCTGTTTTTTGGAGACCTGGAGAGTTTCCTGCTTGTGGTCATGGCCTATGACCGCTATGTGGCCATCTGTTTCCCCCTGCACTATACCAGCATCATGAGCCCCAAGCTCTGCCTTACCCTGGTGGCACTGTCCTGGGTACTGACCACGTTCCATGCCTTGTTGCACACCCTGCTCATGGCCAGACTGTCTTTCTGTGCAGACAATGTGATCCACCACTTTTTCTGTGACATATCTACTCTGCTGAAACTGTCTTGCTCTGACACTCATGTTAATGAGGTGGTGATATTTGTCATGGGAGGCATCATTCTTGTCATCCCATTCCTGCTCATCACCATGTCCTATGCAGGGATTGTGTCTTCCATCCTCAAGGTCCCTTCTGCACGAGGCATCCGTAAGGCCTTCTCCACCTGTGGCTCACACCTGTCTGTGGTGTCTCTGTTCTATGGGACAGTTATTGGTCTCTACCTGATCCCATCAGCTGATAATTCTCCAGTGAAGGAGACTGTCATGTCCATGATGTACACTGTGGTGACTCCCATGCTGAACCCCTTCATCTACAGCCTGAGGAACCGAGACATCAAGGGAGCCCTGGGAAGAGTCATTTGTAAAAAGAAAATCTTCTGCCTTTGATGGTAGCCCATGGGATTCAATAGATAAATTTATAGTTAAATATTGTTACTGGCTTATGCTTCACTACCATGGTATTTTCTGTTGCAGTTGGGCACTGCATTGTAGTCTGCTAGTAAAGGGGAAGTGGCTGTGTCCTTGGACTGGGACGGGGTGCTCCATGACAAGCTAGGAAAGCTTTTCTCTCTGTGAATTTCAGGTCCCATTGAGAAGCCACACCTTACAATTTGTTAACTGAATTTCTGCCACTTGTTATGAAACCCACTAACTTATCCTGTATTGTTTTAAAACTACAACTGCAGTTTAAATGATACTCTCTTCTCCCATGACAATGGACTGAGAGCCATCAGTCCAGTCTCCTGCTGCTTCTAGGCTGGATTTGTTGTTGCTCAGTTATTATCTTTACTTGTCTCTCTATCAAGAGTTCACACTATTCTGTTATTTACCTTTTACATTTTTCTTTTATTTTCCTCTCTGCATTGTCACATTTTTAATGGTCTGAATTTAGTATGGTCTTCACATATTGTGTCATTATAATAATTCAGTTTGTATTTACTTGAGAAGTCAGTCATACCTGGTGCTCTAAGTGCGGCCTCCCAAGTCTGGGGAAGTAGCCAGAGTCATTATTTTCATTTTTGTTAAAGACAGAGATGTTAATACCACAGGGTGAAGGATTCATGACAATGATCATAACATTGGGGCAAGAGTGGTGTATTCTCACTAACATGGCATGGTTCAGTGAAGGCGTATATATAAGTTTATACTAAATGATATCTCACTCTTTTGACTATTTTTAACATCACTAATCTTTGCAATGTTTTATTTTACTTTGTTATTGTGTCAGTTTCATGAAGGGAAGGAAATATTATCATCATTTTAAAACATCAACATTATCCTGTTGCCTAATAAAACTCGTAAGCTCATAAGCGCCTGCTGTGATTTTTGTTTTTGCATTTTCTTTTTTTAGATTTATTTATTTTTTAAAACATTAATTACATTGCATTATGTGACACAGTTTCAATAGGCTCTGGGATTCCTCCCACCCCTCCCTGTACCTTCTCCCCATGATAGATTCCTCCACCTTGTTGCAATATTACAGTTCAAATTCAGTCAAGATTCTTTCATTGCAAGCATATACCAAGCATAGAGTTCAGCATCTTATTGTCTAGATAACTTAAATGGTTTCTTGAGGAGACATCTCTGGTCTGAAGGCAGAGCTGGCAGAGTATCATCCCGATCAATTAAAAGCCATAACATAACATCAAAAACAATTTACAACATTATGGAATTATTTGACATGGCATTGAATAACCAATATGTTAAAAAAATGCAAGTTCTTAACCACATCCTGTGATTACTTCATTGACATTTCAATTTTAGTTTATATACAACCGAATTCTATACACATCAAGTTGGATTATAAGTAAATGAGTGTAGATGAGTTAATTATATTTAAAACTATAAAACCTGGATATTATACAATTTAAAAGGATGTCACTAACAAGTTATATTTTAAATAGATGTGATCTGAATTCCTGGAGAATTGCAGCATGTGGGGAATGAGTGCGTTTTATCCCTTTAGCAGAATCATACTAAGCTGTTTAGAAGCCATGGATGACTTTAGGGAGAAAATCTGTTTTTTTTTTCTTATGTTGTAATGGTGACTACATGTCATTATACATCTGTCTAAACCCAGAAAAGCTATACCACAAACAGATATCTTTACTGGAAGCTATAGATATTAATTAATAATAATGTGTCCACATTGGGTCGTGAGTTGTATGTATATGCCACCCTCAAGCAAGGTGTTAATTTCAAGGACTAATGGAAGGGAATGGTGTGTGACTGTCCATTTTGTTGGTAAACCTTTGTAAACCTAAGAACTACTCAGAAGTAAAAAGATTTTAAACATATAAGAAATGTAGACATGTCTAGTCTGTAGTGATAGAATCCAGATAATTAGAAATTAGTGGTATGAGGTGGAATCCTTTTGTTTGCATGTTCTATCTACTGTTTCTTTTTATTTTTACTTTTTTAAAAAGTAAAATATTTTATTTTTTGATGTTTAAGTAATTAAGATGAATGCATGCCCATGTGGATCACTGATTAGGGTAGGAAGGGTAAACCAATGGGGAAAGTGGATGAGATAATTGCTTTCAATTTCTTTTTCTTTCTGTACCTGGGGAAAGGTGCAGAGAACGGGAGACGGCCACTTCCAACAGCCCAAATGCAAGAGTACCCAGGTTTGGGGCACAGCCACTCAATTTCATTCTAGGGTCCCAAGTGTTGTGCATGTTCCACGGGCACTGCTTAAGTGGTTTTGATAGTTCTGAGATGCTGTTGATTTCATTGCTGCACAATTGAGGAAGTCTTTTCAGGGTTCACTGATTGAAAGAATTTACCTTAGAGTCGTCACTGGCCCAGATACTTGCTCTCAAAGCTTGGCTGGGAGAGTTGTTCAATTTGTTCTGCCCTCTGTCCTCTGCTATGGTACCAGATGTCTTTTGCAGGCCTCTATGAGCTTTCATGTCCGCTGTGTACCTGGGCATGCCACCCAATGTACAGGCTTCAGCAGCTTAAACTGAAGAGGAGGCCCAGTTCTGACAGGTGCACTCCATGGTCAGACCACAGATCTTATGTATTTCCCCACAACTGTGTCCAACTCAGTTCATCACCCACATCAGCCTACACTCATGCTGGTGGTTGCAGTTGCCTGATCAGTTCTCTCTTCAACTCCATTTCATGTATAGAACAAAGGGTGTTGTGACCCAGCCTAACCCTGCCCACTACATACTTGGGCTTCATGCACATTAGTGACAATTGCTGTCTAGTTGGAGAGACTCCTAATAACTCCCACATGGCCTGTCCCCAGCCCTGGTTCCCTGGTTCTCTGGTTCCTGCACATGCTGGTATGTGCAGGAGACTGATCCAGGGTGTTGCACATCACATTCAGCTCTGATACAAGGCATTTGGTGATGCAACCTAGTTCAGCCTGACCAACTGCAGTATCAAGCATGCTGGTGGGTACTGCCATCTGTTGGGCCAGGCCTGCCTCCAGCTTTGGTTCTCATGCTCACCAGCGGGAGCTACAGTTCATCAGAGGGTTAACCACAGTTTCCCTATTAGGCATACTTCCATGCCGAGGTCTTGCACTTTCCAGTTGGTATTGTGGTCCAGCCTGACAGGACCTGCCTACAGTTCTGGCATTTGTCAGCTGATCTTGGCAAAGCCCAACCAGCCTATGCAGATATGGATATGGTTGGTTAGCCCAATCTGGCTTTCCCCCTACCCTAGTTCACATGCAGGCTCTTCCCTAACCCAGCTCATATGCAGGCTATGCCTAGGTTGGTCTGTCTCCAGTCACAGCTCTTAGGCTCACCAGCAGGAGCAGTTGTCCATCAGGGGAGCTTCAACAGTCCACTACCAGGCTGACCCTTCCCAAGGTCTTTCACGTGCTGGTAGGTGGTATGGTCAGTTTCATCTTGGTATTAGCTAGCAGGTGCTGCAGACTGGCTTGACCTGGACTGTCCCCATTCCTGGTCCTAATGTGAACTGGCTTGTGTTGTGGCTCAACTTCTGTCCTGTGCCCAATTCTGGTTCACATATCTGCCAATGAGAACTATGACCTGTCCCAGTCCGGCCTACTTGCAGACGACCCACCTATGTCTGTGGGTAGTGTAGGAGGTGGAATCTTGATTATAAGTTTTCATACTGAAGTTTGAAGTGATAGAATGGTTAGAGATTTTGAGCAGATTAGAAGTTACAAGGATGATTTTATTTTCACATTGATGAGCTGACCTTTAATATGGGTGCATTTAATTGTATGTAAATTATATTTCAAGAAAATTATAAAGTGTGTATGTGAGAATCTGTGGACTCTAATCCTTGCTATTACCAGAGAAGGTTTACAGTTTGTGAAGTTGTCAAATGATTGTTCAAGGGTCTGGCACGATGGCTTAGTTGGCTAATCCTCCCCTTGCAAATGCCAGGATACAATTTGGGTTCTGATTCATGTCCCAACTGCTCCACTCTTCATCCAGCTTCCTGCTTATTGCCTCAGAAAGCAGTGGAGGATGTTCCGAAAGCCTTGGGACCTTGTACCTGTTTGGAAGACCCAGAGGAAGTTCTGGCTCCTGGCTTCAGATCAGCTCAGCTTTGGCCTTCGTGGCCACTTGGGAGTGAACCAGTGAATGTAAGATCTTTCTCTCTGTCTCTCCTTGTCTCTGTAAACCTGGCTTTCTAATAAAAATAAATAGATATTCAGATATTATCATTACTATTGCTTACACTTTTCTTTTTTAAATATTTATTTTTATTGGAAAGGCAGAATGTGTGAAAAAGAGGGAGTGAGAGAGAGAAAGAGAGAGAGATTTCTATCCATTAGTTCAATCCCCAGATGACCTTAATGGCCAGAGCTGAGCTTATCCTAAACCAGGAGCCAGGATATTCTGCTGGATCTCCCATGCGGGTGCAGGGTCTAAGAGCTTGAACCATCCTCCATCACTTTCTCAGGCCATAACCAGGGAGCTGGGTCAGAACTGGAGCAGCTGGGACTAGAACTGACACTTAAAATGGGATGCCACCAGATTCACTTGCTGTTTTACCAAATTGCTTTTCCTGGTTGACCTTGAAGCTAAGTGATGGGAAAAAACAACTGAACTTTTCTTTCCCTTAACTCTTGTTTTTGGAGTTTACCAGCTCCTCTTCAATTCTTTATATATCTTGACATTACAGTCATAGTATTGCATTATAGAACTCTAGAAATTATTCTGTGTTTTGGTAGGGGCTCTTTAGTACACTCTGACCATTAATCTTGTGTGTCTTAGACTACACTGTGTCATTTCTCTTTCAAATTCACTTCTGTTATGTTTTCCCCCAGGTAACTTTCAAATATGTCAGACTTTATCAACATAGCTTCTGAGTGTAGTGTGAATATGAGGAGGTTTCAAAAAGCTCTTTGAAGATTTGTATTGTCTTAATATTTTTGAGACTCCCTCATGTATTTCCTATAGTTAATTCCTTTTTAGTAATTATAGCTTTTGATTAGCATTTGAAGCCATTGAAAATTGTGTATGGTATAAGAAATGAATGCACTGTTTTCCATGTCAGACTTGTTGTGGTATCATTTTTTAAAAGATTTATTTGTTTTTATTGGAAAGTCAGATATACAGAGAGGAGGAGAGACAGAGAGGAAGATCTTCCGTCTGCTGATTCACTGCCCAAGCGGCTGCAATGGCCGGAGCTGAGCCAATCCGAAGCCAGGAGCTACTTCTGGGTCTCTCACATGGGTGCAGGGTCCCAAGGCTTTGGGCCGTCTTTGACTTCCTTCCCAGGCCACAGCAGGGCTGCTGGGATTAGAACTGGCACTCATATAGGATCCTGGAGTGTGCAAGGCAAGGACTTTAACCACTACACTATTGCGCCAGGTCCTGTGGTATCATTTTTGAGTAATATATTCTTTGCTCCATTGTTTGAAGTACCATATTAACCATAAAATAAATCTTCAGAAACAGGACTATTTACAGTGGTTCATTTTATTAATCTTTTTGTCAATTCAAATATAAATATATACTAGTTTAGAATATGTACTGATTCTTGAGATATATTTTTAAAATATATATTGTTATTTAATTGATCACAAGTGAACATTGTATCTGTTTTTCAAATCTTGAAAATTTTACACATTTTTCTTTTTAATTAAGAATGAGCTTGTCAGTTTGTAAAAACAATTTTATGAAAAATTTGAGTTGGATTTTATTGAATAATTTGAGGTGAATTAATGCTGAACTGTTGCAGCTTCAAATGTCATCAAGTTAGAATTTTAAACTGATCAATTTTATTATAGCAAAACCTATCTTTGAAAATGTGTGTCAAAGGAGTCATCTTTCCTGGGACCTTGTATATCTCCTCTCATTGTGATGTTCTTGAGTATTCCCTTCCTATGGTTTATGAACCTAATTTAGCTGGCATTGAAAATGAAATAATTTTAACAGATTTTAAAATTTAATTATCTGATATAGAAAACAGATAATTAATATTTTGTCCTCTCGCTGATAATTCTTTGTATTTATGCTACTGAGATTTAAGAGTTTATTCATTGTAAGGACTTATGCTGCCTTAACAGATACATAAAATATGATAAATTATTTCAAGAAACATGAAATCAAATGTATAGAAGTGATTGGTTCAGGAATTATACAAAGGTGATATCAAAAGTCAAGATGTGGAATACAGGACACGAGGATTAAAGTTAGAGTTCCATGTGGAGGGTGTGAGAGGGAGGTGCTCAATGGCACCACACATGGAGCTGTCCCCTGAGCAGATGAGATGCCAGTTGGGAGTTCAGGAGCAAGATGTGGGCTTCAGACTGAGACGAGGAGGTCAGGAGAACATAAGGATGCACAAGGTGATGCAGGTGATGGCTCTGGAGGCCATCACTCAGTGGGGACAAAGGGAACGATCCAGCGAGGCTGGAATCCTTGCCTTGTGTGGTGCTGAAGGTTTGGAAAAAGAGTGGTTGTGCCTGTTTTTCTCAACTGGGAAAGAATGAAAAGAAACTGGAGTCAGAGAGTCTGACCTTACGTAGGCTCAGCCATTGACACACTTTCTGGTTGAGAAGTCATTGAATTCCTCCATAGTTTGTATAGTTTACAATGTAAGCATCCTCATGACTTCCTTGAAATTGTCATGAAGGTGGAATAAGGTTATTTTGTGCTGGCCAAACTACCAAATGGAAGAAAGACATCCATAAAAAGTAAACTTGCATGCTGGTTTCAAGTTGGTAAATTCTCAGGAGGTTTCTGTTTCTCTGTGTTTATTGAAACTCCAATAGCTAAAATATCAGCCTAAATGTCCATCAACTAATGACTGAATAAAGAAAATGTGATCTCTCTCTCTCTCTCTCTCTCTCTCTCTCTCTCTCTCTCTCTCTAGTATGGAATACTTCTCAGTCATAAAAAATGAAATCCACTTTTTTGCAACCAAACAAAAGCAACTGATGATCATTAGTATTAATGAAATAAGTTAGTCTAAAAAACAAATGTTTTCTGTGACGACTGGCAGTTAAAAATGTGGAGAAATGAAATAGCCAGTTTTGCATATGACTGCTGTTGTAGCCCACATTTACCCAATAGTGGAACTGGTTTTACAGCTTTTATTTGTTGTGTTTGATTAGTGGAATATCAAGTGTGACTATAGAGTGCATTGAAATGATTTCTTTGAAAAACCTGATGAGGGCAGTTGAAGGGAGGAAGGGATATTAGGAAATGTAGGGGAGGGAGGGAGGAATCATTGTGTTCCCAGAACTGAGACTATGGCATGTATACAATTAATTCCATTTCTATTAATGTGTGTGTATATATATATATATATTTAAAGTGAACTTGCTCTTAGGAACTCAATATTTTTTTCTAAAAATTTAAAATCTCTGTGCGATGTTAGTTAATTCTTGATTAAGCCAAATTCTAATACTAGCAAAGAGTCAGAAAAATCTGTTCAATGTATGGTTGCATCAGGGAGCCTTTGTAATGGGACAGGTCCAAAAAGACTTTAAGAATGTGAAAAGAAATCTGGAGGAATAGGGGGTACTTGAGTGATGTAATGATGTGAAAAATGAAAAAATGTTTTGGCGCGTATTTACAGGAGACCGTGATTGATTAGGAGACCGATACAGTTGATGTAATTTAGTATTAGCAAAAATTACAGAGAACTCTTCAGGAATTATACCATAGGTAGTGTTCTGCATAGAATAATTAATGTCCTATTACAATTTCAGAATGTAATATATGTGTGTGATTTCAAATAGTTCTTCCACTCTGTATTTCCAGGATGCGGAAAACAAAGAAGGCATTGCCACATCATTAAAATATTTCTCCTTAGTAAAATTGCTAAGCCACACTTTATTTAGTTTACATATTAAGTGATTACATGGCATGCAATTTTAATATAAATTTACATAAAGTGTAATGACTCTGGAAAAATATTCTAATATTGTATCAGTATGTGTATAAATTAAAATAAAAATTTTGAAGTACTACAATCCTAGGCAAGAGAAAGTTTTCTTTTTACAAACAACTCTTCTCAGGGCTCCCTTGATGTCTCGGTTCCTCAGGCTGTAAATGAAGGGGTTCAGCATGGGAGTCACCACAGTGTACATCATGGACATGACAGTCTCCTTCACTGGAGAATTATCAGCTGATGGGATCAGGTAGAGACCAATAACTGTCCCATAGAACAGAGACACCACAGACAGGTGTGAGCCACAAGTGGAGAAGGCCTTACGGATGCCTCGTGCAGAAGGGACCTTGAGGATGGAAGACACAATCCCTGTGTAGGACATGATTATTAATAGGAATGGGATGACAAGAAAAACACTTGCCGTGACAAATATCACCACCTCATTAACATGAGTGTCAGAGCAAGACAGTTTCAGCAGAGTAGATATATCACAGAAAAAGTGGGGGATCACATTGTCTGCATAGAAGGACAGTCTGGTCATGAGCAGGGTGTGCAACAAGGCATGGAACGTGGTCAGCACCCAGCACAGCGCTACCAGGGTGAGGCAGAGCTTGGGGCTCATGATGCTGGTATAGTGCAGGGGGAAACAGATGGCCACATAGCGGTCATAGGCCATGGCCACAAGCAGGAAGTTTTCCAGGTCTCCAAAAAGGAAGAAGAAGTAAATTTGAGCAAGACATCCTGCATAGGGGATGGATGGGACATGGCTGTTCATGATCTGTAGCAACTTGGGCACTGTGACAGAGGAGAAGCAGAGGTCAGAGAAGGACAAGTTGCTGAGAAACAAATACATGGGCGTGTGGAGATGGGAGTCCAATATAATGAGGATGATGATGATGAGGTTCCCCAGGACAGTTGTCAGGTACATGGCCAAGAAGAGGTCATAGAACAGGTGTTTGTGCTGTGGATGAATGGGCAGGCCCAGGAGGAGGAACTCTGAGACAGTGGTATGGTTCTTTCCTGTCATGTTCTGTTGCTAGTTGCTTTTGAAGAGAAAAGGTGTATCAAAACCTGAGATTATATGCTTTAAACTACAATGATAAATTTTTTTTGTCTCAATCTAATTACATTACAATGACGGTAATTTCTAAATTTCAAATTTCTGTAATTAAAATCTGGGTTATCATGAATGAATTGCTTTATTTGCATTTCTTAAAATGTAAGGTATCACATCATTTCTAAAACCACAATTTCCTTCTGGGATGCAAAAAAAAAAAAAAAACCATGCAAATCTCTTACCTCCTCAATAAATGTAATGCTTTCCTGCTCAGTAACTTTTTCATAAAAGATTTGTTTGTTTGAAAGTGTTACAACCTGAGAAAGAAATAAAGAGAGATCTTCCATGCACTAATTCACTGCTTGATAATTGCAATGGATGGAGCTGATCCAGAGTAAATCCAAGGCCAGGAGCTTTAGCCAATCCTCTTATGTGGGTTGCAGGTTGCCAAGCAATAAGGGCATCTTCTGTTGCTTTTGCATGCTGTTATTAAGGAGCTAAATTGAAAGTGGAGCAGGGCCCAGTGGCATTGCCTAGTGGCTAAAGTCCTCGCCTTGAGTGTGCCGGGATCTCATATGGGCGCTGGTTCTATCCTTGGCAGCCCCACTTCCCATCCAGCTCCCTGCTTGTGGTCTGGGAAAGCAGTGGAGGACGGCCCAAAGCTTTGGGACCCTACACCCACATGGGAGACCTGGAGGAGGTTCCTGGTTCCCTTTCTTCGGTTTGGCGCAGCACCTGCCGTTGCGGTCACTTGGGGAGTGAAACATCGGACGAAAGATCTTCACTGTCTCTTCTCCTCTCTGTATAGCTGACTTTGTAATAAAAATAAATAAATAAACCTTTAAAAATAAATAAATAAATAAAGTGGAGCTTCAGGAACACAAGTCAGTGCCCATACAGGATGCTGATGTTGTAGGAATTTTATCAATTATACAACAGTTCTGCGGCCAGTGTCTTTTATGTTGGTTTTCCTGCAGGTTGTTTTCTAATCATCATTCTCTTATAATGTTATAGTTATATAGCACAAGACAAGTTCATCTACTCCATGTCTTAGGTTGTCATTTAACTATAAGACTTACATATCTCCAATCCAGAGATTTTTGAATCCTCTTTCTACATAATTATCTTCCCGTGGGTGCATCACAGGCATTGAAACTTAATGGATCCCCAATGAAACTCATGATCTCACCTCTCCACTCTTTAAAACAGTTCCTTTTGCATTGTGTCATAGTCCAGAGGAAAACCAAAAATCCAGATTAAAATCTGGCCCAGTACTCCAATTTAGTGTGCCTTCTGTCTCACACTACATTCTCACTCTAATTTGTCCACTCTTACAGCACACATACTCCTAGACCAGGAAGGTATCTTTTCATCTCCAGAATGCTGAAACAGCCTCTGAATTTATGTCCTTGTCTTCCTGTCCCAACTTTTTTCTCCTTGAATGTTTTCTTCACACAGTGGGTGACATTCTAAGATGAAAATCTGATCATTGCTTTTCTGATTAATGCTTCAGGGTATTCTTTTTTTCTTTTTTTAAATATATATATGTTTTTATTATATTTTGACAATCTTTACATAGTTAATTAGGGTAAAAAATGTTCAAGGGCTACAGGGAAGTGGATAAGACCATCATATACCACTTCCTTCATGTATCTGAGGTAAAGGGGGATATAGAGGAAGAAGCCCCACCCAGTTTCCCACCCACCCTAAGTCCCGGTTGTGGGGCATGCTCTGAGATACTCGATCAAGTAGTTTCAATAGTTCACCATTCATGGATCGCTACCAGTCTTGCCACTCCAAGCACAGTGTGGTCGTTGAAGAATCCACTGATTAACACAGTCCCTTCTAGAGTCTCCATTTGCCCAGTATTTTGCTGCCAACAGATAGCTGAGGTTGTTGATTGACTTGTTCTGTCTTTTCTAGGTTAGGACTCTGAGTCAGGTATCAAAACTGGGGAGATCCTCAAAGAAATTTTGAAGTATTCCCAGTCTAGATTCCTGCATGTTCTAGCAAGCATAGGACCCGGCACAGTCCATCGCCCTGATCAGCTGGTGGTTGCAGTTGCTGGGTCGGTTTTGTCTCCATCCATGTCCTCCACTGGAACCAATGGGTGTTAGTCTGGCCTGGTTCTGCCCAGGACACACTCGCCCCTCACACAAACCAGCAGGAGCTGCAGCCCAGTCAGGGCGGCCCACAGTAACCCCAACCGGGCCCACCCCCTACCCTGGCTGGCCAGTATGTATGGCAGACTAGTCCGGTCTGTCCCACATTCCCTTCTGCTCACATACTTGTCAACGGGTATTGCGACCTAATTCCATCCAACCATCTCATCCAACCAGCCCTCACGGGTGTTGTTGGGTGTCTGTCTAGCCACCCCAGCCCCTGTCCTAGTTCCCGTGCCCTCCCATGGAAGATGATGACCCAAGAGGGAAGAACCCACTATTTCCCTCCCAGGTCGCTCCCACTCCCAGGTTGTGCCCTCTCCAGGTGGCCCTGTGGTTCAACTCGACATGACTAGCCCCCTGTACCAGCCTCCGCCAGCTGATGCTATGACCAAGTCCCAACAACCCTCACCCACTCTGATTGTAGATTGCACCAGTGGGAATAGTCAGCCCAGCCTGGTTTTCACCCGATCTGGTCCACATGAGGTGCACAGGTGCTGTGGCCCTGCCTGGTCTGGTCTACCTCCTACCCAGCTCACACTCCCCAGTGGAAGTAGCTGTTCAGCTAGGGAACCACCTCTTTTTCCCCTGCAAGCTCTGCCTACTGCCTTCCTGATTCTCGCATGTGCTGGTTGGGCGCTGTGGCTGCATCCGGCTCAGGCTACCTCACCTTGGCATTCCAAGTTGTGCATTGCTTTTGTCGCAACCAGCAGGGTATTCTTACTTCTGTTAAAGTTGAAGTTCCTTTCAAGGGCCTGAATTATACTTTGCTATGATACCTATGCCTCCGTCCATAGCCTGATCAGCTCCCACAATGTCTCCTGCCTCCAACTCTAGATTAGTGCTTACTTAAAAAAAAAATAATAATTACAGGACCCAGCACCAAGACTCAGTGGCTAAATCCTTGCCAAGCATGCACCAAGATCCCATAGGGATGTCAGTTCTTGTTGCAACTGCTCCACTTCCTACCCAGTTCTCTGCTTGTGGCATGGGAAAACAGTAGAGGACTGCACACAGCCTTGAGATGCTGACCCGCTTGGGAAACCCAAAGGAAACTCCTGGCTGCTGACTTCTGGCTTTGGATCAGTTCAGCTCAGGACATTGCAGCCATTTGCGGAGTGTACCAATGGACAGACGGTCTTTTTGTCTCATAATCTCTCTGTAAATCTGCCCTTTCAATTAAAAAATCTGTTTTTAAACACAACTTATTACTTGCAAACTTATAAATTTACCTTTCCTTCCACATATTACTTTTTTCCTTTGAGCCTTCTAAACTGGCTTACCCTTAATAATTTTTCATGTATATCGCTTGTTAAACCTTGCTCAGTTAAACCTTTCTGTATTTCCAGCTCTACCGAGACCTGATGCTATACTTTCACCCCAACCTTTACTCATGTCACAACATCAAATACCATGAATAATTAGTTTGCATCCAATGTCCTCATGATCTAGTGAACCACACACAGGTGAGGATCCTCGTGAATGTAGCAGAATCTGCACCAGACCTGGGAGGTGCCTAACCGGGGGCTCAGGTGTCATTACTGTTTGCTGTCTGCCTGCAAGCTGAGATGCATTTTCTAGTTTAGACAGAAAAGCAGCTCTATGAATCTAGAATCATCACTGCCATAAAAATCTCCGTGGAATGAGACCTCAGTAGCCTTCACTATTCAGTGCCAAATTTTGTCGTTGTTACTGAGTTAACAAATCTAATTTTGTACCCCTAATAATTACAAGAGTTTCCCAACAGTTGTACTCTTTTCAACAATACAGACTCAAACTAAAACTGCTTAGGGTGAAATCACCATTATGGGATTCGTACTGACATAGTACAAAGAAATATGGACATTTTATCAGTGAGTAGAGAAACAAAAAGAATAATTTGCTCCCTGAGGATTCACTGGAATTCTTTCTGGGATATCCACGGCCTGTGTGGTGGTTAATTTTATATGTCTGCTTGATTAGATTGGTATGAGGTTTTGGTCAAATTTCAATTCTAAATGATGATGTGATCCCATTTTGTGATGCTATTAGTGTTTGTATTAGTAGACCTTTGATACAGGAAAGTTTTCACTGAGCAAGTGACTTGTAATATAGGCAAAGAACAAGGAGTGCTATGCCAGGTTAAACAGGAGCAGAGGAAAGAAAGTGCAAGGTAGAAGGACAAGTAAGCTCAAAGGTTTGGGAATAAGGAATGATGATTTTTAAGTCAGCATATTGCTCTAGTACTGGAGGCAAGAGCCATCGTGGGACCTGTTGAGGGTGTGGAGAGAGGCACAGGGGGTGTAATGATGCCAGTCGTGTCCTTGAAAACAGCCTTGCCTTTCAGAGAGGTGAGAACCTCCTCCAGTCTTCACCAGAAAACAGATGACCATTCATCTTTGAATGCCACTCACTGTGTGAGTGACACATGTTCAAAGAGAGGGGTGTTGTGTCAGGAAAACAAGGATCATAATTGAAAGTCAAGATAATCCTTACTGTGCTGTGTGTCATTGAATCAGTGGCAGACCTCAGAAGAGAAGACTGAGGTTTCCCAAGGAAACAACATTCAGCCTCTTGATTGCCTTTGGACTCAAGATTGTAAGAATGTATCACTGCCTCCTCACAGGGTTTTCAGCTGTTGGCAGATGTGGACTTATCCCCCACAGCATGTGGACTATTTCCATACACAAATCTCAATCTGTCTCTCTTCTTTCTCACACACACCTATACACACACACACACACACACACACACACATTTGCTTAGTTTTATATTTCTGGATAACACTTAGTAAATGTAAAATAATGTACATTATTATAGCTGCACGGT